TAAGGATATACATAAATTATATACGTAACATATTTTAAGTTACCTTTTTAATATTTTTATTTTTTATTTTTCTTTATTAAGTTGACTTGGATTGGGAAAAGGAATAGGGTTATTATTTAGCCTATAAATACACAACTATAGGTTGAAAAATGAGTGAAAATATATCACGTAATATATTCTATAGGGAAAGAGTTAGAGAGAGAAGGAGAAAGAGGAAGGAATGAGGATAAAACCCTGTAGAGAGAATATCAAGGAAGAAGAAGTTTAACTTTCGATTCGAAAGTTTAAGGCAAGTTCTTCTTCTATCTCTTTCCCTTTGATTTGTGTTTCTGTACATGCCTAGGAAATTCCAGAATTTATTAAACACATAAAATTAAATAATTATGCATGTTTAATTGGGTTAGAACATAGGTTTTATGAAATTGGTTTATATCTGTTCTTGTGTTATGAATTGATAAAATGCATGATTTTGATTTGATTTCTTATGTGAATTTTTACATGTTTAAATTATGTATTTTTCATATCTGTGGAATGATGGAACATAGAAATATACCTAGGATTCCTGAACATTAAATAGGGACTAGGTTTGGGTTTTAATATATTTAAATAGACTCAATCATAATGATGCTTGCTATTTGAATGTTTTAAACAAACGAATGGATTTAATCTTTTAAAATATTTTAGCAATTGAGATTAAATGTGTAGGATGAATTGGATATAGAGAATCATTATTTAACGGTATAATAAAATATCATTATGTATAAGATTCAGTTTGTGTAGGACATATGATATATGAAGTTTAAAGAAATAATAAGTCATTCCTATTATGTGATAACTTGATATCATATTTATCATAGTTATTTATGGAATGTTTGATGTATTTCCTTAATTGTTACATCAATTGTTGGATTGTGTGGTTTAATGCACCGGTATGGGACGGTGGCATTCTAGGGATGGATTAACTTATCAGTTAAGTCCTACCTATTTTATATAAGGGAATGGATTAACTAAAATGTTAAGTCCTACTTATATTTAAGTCAGGTCAGCTGAACAAGTTGAATGACTTATGGAGGATTAATTTATTATATAAGGGAATGGATTAACTAAAATGTTAAGTCCTACTTATATTCAAGTCAGGTCAGCTGAACAAGTTGAATGACTTATGGAGGATTAATTTATACTGGATAGGATGGTTACTAGATTATATATATATAAATATAGTGCCATGATATGAGCTTGAGTCTCAGGATCAATGGTTAGGGCGCGTATATCGCCAGGGATGTGTAGCTAGATATAGTGTAGTTGTGTACCCTGGTAGGTCTAGGTACTCATGCCCACTATATGTGCGTTTTGCATGTTGCCTACTATTCAGGTTGAGACAACCCTATAGTCTAGTGAGGTTCCTTTAGTGTGTGTATATATATATACGGACTATTAGTTACTGTTGGATTGACTAGGATGTATACGTGTATCGGATCTCTGCTTGGACTGTAGTAGAGTAGAACTTGTTTGTGGGCCTGACCCACCATTATTTTTCAGGTGTTCGTCACGAGTAGAGGTTGTTCGTACTGAGCAGGGATCAGTCTACTTCATTCTTCCGATGCTACATAGGAGTTCCTTTATGATTCAGTTTCCTGTTTTAGATTACTGTCATTTGTTTAGTTTGGATTTTCTAGGGGTCCACACAGTATGGATTCCCGAGTTGTTTTTTTGAGAATCAGTTGTATCAGAAGAGTTTATTAATTAATGGAAATATATTATGAGGTTTATTATTAGATTATCATTTTAGTTCTTTGTCAGCATTTTATTTATTCTTCTTTATTCTTTTGTACTCTGTGTTCGTTTATTATCAATTTGTTTTGATATCCTAGGGTATTCGGGCGTGGGCCTGGCCAACCCGCATTCAGAAATTCGGGGGTATCACAGAGCGAATTGTAATTTTAGTGGGGGCATCTTCATAAATTCTAAAAAAATTGAGGTTTAAAATGGAAATATAAAAATCCAAGTCTGTGCCTGCATGAAGAGATTATTACACATGAAAAGGTTCAAATTTTTTTTTTTCTTAGAGCACGTGTATCGACCATCCCACAACATACGCACCATTCAATTCAGGAGTGTGGTTCGAAAGCGAGACTTCAAAAACTTACTTCTCAGATCCCTGTCAACGCTGCTATGCCCCTGTGAGCATGAAAATGTAATTTAATCTAAAACTAATTTAAGATGGCATTAATATTTCAACGTGAAAATTGTTCATACGGATGATTTGAATTAATTTGTCTTTCTAGCCTGAAATCTCAACCCGAGTTTAAAATAGGAGAATGAGTTGGATCAGGTTGAATAGTTATGGTAGAACATCAAGTTGTTGTTGTTGTTGTTTTTTTTTTTTTTATTTTTTTTTTTTTTTCTTTTCCTTACTAAAATTGGTTAAACAATTCATATGCGTTCGGTACCTCTAACTTGCCCGAATTGCACCCTAAGGACAAGGTAGCACATTTAATACACTACTTAACTGAATTAGTTTGGTGATTTAAAATTTCGAAATTAAAATTGATTGGGTTTTGGACCTAGAAGAAAAATGAACTATGATTCTTTATGAATAAGGTTAACAAAGTCTTTTTAATTAAAATAAAGGAAAAATTGACTTTTCATAAAAATCATTTTAATGGACTTTAATGGCGCATTAACTGAATAGGGGAAATCTGAAGGTCAACGAAAAACTATGGAGGTATACCAGTGAATTATCCAAAGTTCAAATTATTTAATAAAATAAAATCATTGAGTTGAGGTGTGTACTAAGACATATGGTGAAGTGGCATTATGCATTATCTTAACGTGAATGATTGATGATTAAAGTCTTTTCACCAGCATTGTGAGGAGTTATTTGTTAAAAAAAAAAAAAAACTCTTAAGAGGGTCTTTATGATTTACGGTATATATATACATGCAACAAATAAAAAAGAGATTGGGAGAAGAATGTGGGAGGAAAAATTTGGCATGTTCTGATAATAGTTTTATGTAGAAAAACAAAAATCAATAAAAATAAAATTTTAAAAGTATTATGAAGAAATTGTATACTAAACAAGTTAATATTAATTTTCAATTATACCCCCAAAGTTGATAACAAAAAATCAATTTTAAATGCTTCCAAATTTATATTTTTGGAATATCACATGAATTTGAAAATGAGTGTAAAACTTGCATTCTTTTAGTTGAAGGACTGGACAAGTGTCTGATGAATAATATCAACGTCGGTGAGGGTGTCTATTTTGCATGAAGACTGGTTTACGTTGTGTTTGATATTTAGGAATAGAATAAAATGTAGATAAGAATATGAATAGAATGAGAATATAATTGAATGGTCATTCTCATTCTACTATTTGGTTGTAAGTACGAAATGTTTAGAAATTGAATGATAATAACCATTATTGTATTTAGTTGAATCAATTTAAAATCCATAATAAAATGAATTTCAAATTGAATTCTCCAAAATACCATTCTTAGTAACAAATAAATTAAATTAACAAAATAACATTTTCTATAAATTTTTTAAAAATAAATGGTGGCGGTGGTGGATAGAGGTGATGATGGTGGTGGGAATTAGTAGTGGTGCTATAAGGCAACGATGGTGGAAGATGGTAGCGGTGGTGGTGGTGAAAGGCGGCAATGGTGTTGGTGGAAAGCGATGACAATGGCTATGGCGGTGGTAGTGGCTGTGGCGGTGGTAGTGGTGTAGGTGGTGATGGTGAAAGACAATAGCAGTGGTGTGGTGGTGGTGGTGGTGGAAAGCGCAATGGTGTAGGTGGTGGCGGTGGAAGGCAGTGGAGGTGATAGTGGTGGAAGGTAGTAGAAGCGACAGTGTGGAAGGTAGTGATGGTGGAAAGCGTTGGTGATAGTGGTAGAAGGTAGTTGCGATGATGTGGTGGTGGTAGTGGAAGACAGTAGAGGTGACAACGGTGGTGGTAGTGGAAGGCAGCGAAGGCGGTGGTGATGGTGGAAGGCGGTGGAGGCAGCGACGACATGTTGGTGGTGCAACGCGGCGACAGTGACATTGAGGGTGCTAATGGTAGTGGTGTAAGTGGTGGTGGTGAAATGTGGCAGTGGCAGTGGCAGCAGTAATGGTGATGGTGGTGGAAGATAATGTAGGTGGCGGTGGTCGAATGTAGTAGTGATAGAAGGCGGTGTTAGTGGTGGAAGTTGGTGGTGGCGATGACGACGGAGGTGGCGGTGGCGGAACGTAGTGGAGACGGCGGCGGTGTGGTGATTGAATGTGACAACAATGAAGGCGGTGGCGGTGGCAGTGGCGGTGGCGGTGGCAATGGCAGTAGCGGAAAACAATGGAGCTTGCGGTAATGAAAGACAACGGTGGTTGTGGTGGAAGATGGTGGTGGTGGAAGGCAATGTTGGCGGCAACTGTGGTGGTAATGGTGGTTTTATGACTTGGAACATGAGATTTTTTGGGAACTTGATTTTTTAAAAAAATATATTTAGAAATGGAATGGTCATAGGCTTAGTTGTGGAATAGATTTTTAATTTAAAATGGATTGTACATTCCCATTTTAAATTGCATATCAAATAAAATAATAGTTAGAATGGACATTTCATTTCATTCAATTACCGCTCATCAAACACATTAGATGAATGAATTGCCATTTAGTCATATTTTGTAAATTTATTAAAAAAAATATTTAAATAACTTAAAAAGACATATATCTACAAACAAAAAACTATTCTCAAAAGAATAAATAAGCAAAAAATTAGCCTTTATATATATATATGGTTACAAACTTACAATTTGAACATTCTTTGGTTGTATATTAAATAGGTTAAAATACCGAACGTATTTTTCTAAATTTTTGAAAATTATTCTTATTATTACTCAGTATTTTTCTAGAACACGAAAACATAAGCGAACCAAGCAACAGCATCACGCAAAACCTCACCACGTGCGCACCACGTGTAGTATGGTATTAGCTTAACGAAGAACAAAAGATCTATCGCCGTGAGCTTTTTTTTCACCCATTTACCTGTTAATAACCCAATTCTTCTCATGTTTTTTTGTTTCTTCTACAAAGCAGACTCTACTCTCTATATCTATATTCAAGTATATATAATCTCTCATAATTCCGAAGCGCACTCTGTGAAATCAACCAATTTAATTGTGTGTCTCCTCCGGATCTTTCTCTCTTCTGGAGGCACATTCAGTGTTAGATCTACCAAACGCTCTTCTTCGATGCCTCTGCCTTCAATTCCATCCCCCAAATAACCCTAGAAAGGAAAAAAAGAAAAGATATTTCGAATTATAAATCGAAGATTTAATTTTCGAATATAAATCGAAGCCCTAAACCCAAAATTCAAGATGGAGCAGTTGAAGACAATCGGTCGGGAGCTAGCAATGGGCTCCCAAGGCGGGTTCGGGCAGTCCAAAGAGTTTCTCGACCTGGTGAAATCGATCGGCGAGGCACGATCCAAAGCCGAAGAGGATCGGATCGTCCTCCACGAGATCGAGACACTGAAGCGCCGAATCACCGAGCCGGAAATCCCCAAGAGGAAGATGAAAGAGTACATCATTCGCCTCGTTTACATCGAGATGCTCGGCCACGATGCGTCATTCGGGTACATCCACGCCGTGAAGATGACCCACGACGACTCACTGTTGTTGAAACGAACTGGGTACTTGGCCGTCACGCTTTTTCTGAATGAAGATCACGATCTAATTATACTGATTGTGAATACGATTCAGAAGGACTTGAAATCGGACAATTACTTGGTGGTTTGTGCCGCGTTGAATGCGGTGTGTAAGTTGATTAATGAGGAGACAATTCCGGCAGTTCTTCCACAGGTGGTGGAGCTTTTGGGGCACTCCAAAGAGGCAGTTCGGAAGAAGGCAGTTATGGCACTTCATCGGTTTTATCAGCGGTCACCGTCTTCCGTCAACCATCTCGTCTCCAATTTCAGAAAGGTGTGCTTCATATATAGTAATATACATTTGTGCTTTGGTTAGTTTTCGTGCATGGTATGTTTTTGCTGCTTTGTGAGACATTATTGTGCCTGCAATGCAGTATGAGTTTCTACTTGTGTTCTATTGGAGATAAATTGTTGTGTTTTACATATTCATGGCCGTGCGCAATACTAAATTGAACTCTCTTTCATAGCTAAATTATATTGGAAATGCTGACACTAGATTAATTAATGTCAAGTTGCCACTATCACTAAGAGAGTGAAAATGTTTAGCTTTTAATATACTGTGGCAAATTGCAACCATCACAAATTATCAGATTGAAAGTTTGAATCATTTAGCTATGATGTGGCCTGAATTCTGTAATGGAAAATGGCCACTGTCACAAAGTATCAGAGTAAAATATTATTAATCTATTACTTTGGCTGAGGGTTAGGTGCAAAAAACCCTGCACTACTATTGATATAGTGCAAAAAGGTCCCTATGTGGTATAAAACCCCCCTATACTATCAATTTTAGGGATGGCAATGGGGCGGAGTGGGGCGGGGATCTCATTCCCCATCCCCATCCCCGGTCAAATTTTTTTACCCCCGTCCCTGCCCCACCCCGCTCCGCCTAATTTTTTTAAAATTCCAATTCACCTTCAACAAAATCAATACAACTATAATATTTTTCAGCCTAATAATTTAATAAAGTTTCAGCACAATTATAACAATTTAAAACATATCATTTCAACCTGATCAAACGTATAGCAAAACCACATATAACATTTTTTAGAATAGTCTGGAAATTTTCAACATGATCAATAAAAAAAAATAACATTCTTTCAACAATGACTATGCTGCGAGGGAATAGATTTAGGGTTTCAGAAGTGAATATATTATCATATAGTTATGTAATTTAGTAATATTTTATAACATGTAAGGATAGTTTTGTAAAAATGCACTATCAACGGGGCGGGGAGGGGTGGGGTTACCCTCCCTCGTCCCCGCCCCGTCCCCCGCCGAGGTTTCAAATACAATCCCCATCCCCTCCCCATTTATATAAATGGGTCCCCAAACCCGTCATAACAGGGGTGGGGCGGGGACCCGCCGGGTATAGGGATTTTGCCATCCCTAATCAATTTGGTGCAAATAGGTCCCTGTATGGTATAAAATGACAATAATACCCTCACTTCAGTTGAATAAATTAATAATTATAAATTCAAGCCATGTAAAATGACCTTTTTGTCCAATTTGTGTATACTATTGTTACTAAAAAAGAGAAAAAAAAAATTGATTCATGGACTTTGATCCATGCCTGTTGACTTGGTGTTCCTTCCTTTCTGTAATTTCGTTGGAATTGCCCTGAAATCTCTTCCACAAACACCATTGTTTCTGCGATGCCAACAACTCCAACTACAGCAACACCACCATGATTCCACCATCAGGTCATTTCACTCTCTCTCTTACTCATCTATCTAGGGATCATTATTACTATTCAGAAAAAAATACTAACATTTATTTAAAATATGGACAGTTCTTGGTCCTGTTCTATCAGGACCAACTTGGTCATGATACCGTGGCCAACAACATTTTGACACTATTTTATTAAAAAGAAAAAGTAAAAAAATAAATTATTTCTCTCTCTAACAAATCTCAGCGCCTCTCCCCACCGCCACTCACCAGTCACCACCCTTTCTCATTCTCTCGGTCTTTCTTTCTTTGCCCCTTCACAAAACCCTAAAGCAAAAACAATGTCATCATCAATTCGACCTCAATCCATATAAAGCATAAAAAAAAAAAAAAAATCCACCAGACAAAATAAGAATCTCCACTGAAACCATCAATTTCATCATCCCAGTTTGCTTATTCTCCTTTACTACACATATTGCTCAAAGACAAAGATGAAAAAAATGCATGAAAGGACCATTGGCTTTACAGATCAAAGCTTTAATTGTGAGTAATTTCTGAAATCTCTTCCACAAACACAATTGTTTCTGCGATGCCAACAACTCCAACTACAGCAACACCGCCATGATTTGCAAAGAGATCTTCGTCACCCCGCAGTCAGGTCGATCATTTGCTCTTCTTAACTCCAATTCTTTCTGCAGTTTAATAGTAAGTTTATAACCATTTTCTAACCCTAGATAGCGGGGAGAGAGGGGGTTATATGCACATATGGGTGAGGGGCAAAATGGGAATGAAAAGGGTAAAATAGGGTTTTCATATTTAGTTTTTGTCAAAAAGTGGTCAGAGGGGCTTATTTGTACCTTTTTTGAATTTTATGGACTAACATGCACATTTTCAAAAAATAAGGACTAGTTCTGCACAAACCCTATATATCAGGGGGTTTTTTGGCACTTAACCCCTTTGGCTGATGATGTTAGACCTTGTACTCCAGGTTCCGGAAACCCAACCTGGCTCGCTCGAGCATATGGGGTGTTCTTTAAGTAATTTTTTTCAATCATATAGTAACAACTTCTATAAAAATGCAAGTTATAAATTTTCACCATCAATACGAGTTACATTCCAAAATATCCTATAGCCAATTCTTGACACAAACTAAATAATTCACTAGATTTAACTTGCAATAAGACGAGTAAGTTGAAAGTCCTTTGAGATAAAAAGCTTTAACATCTCATACTTTTAATTTACCATGCCATTTAAGTAAGCTCCGTCAATGCAGTACATGGAATGAATAAGGGTGACCTGAACAACCAGTAGGAAAATTCTACTCTTCATAAACGTGACATAAGAGCATGCAATAAGAGGTGATGGCACCAATTATTTTTCCCCATAAAGCACGTCCAACAATATCACAGATTCATAATCATATGGCAAAACAATTTTAAATATCAAACATAATGCCAATATGCCAATTCAATAAAAGAGTTGAGATAAAGTATCATAGGTCCAAAGATGAAAAAATATTCATGCTTGTACAACATATAAATGAAAGAGTAGAGAATTTTCCAGCTGGTAATGGAGAAGCCCAATCATGTCCATTTCCCTCACTTGAGATGCTGTCTAGCACGTAGAGAGTCATAAGGACAGACCAAAAGAAAGTGCAAACTTGAATGCAAAAGGAGAAATAGATGTAGATGTGGAGATTTGCACCGACAGTTCCAAAGTACCGTACTGAAGTACACACTGCATTGAAAGCTTAAACTATTAAATAGTTGTTAAAGGCGCGCAAGCTCGACTAGAGTGCCTCAATTTCCTATAGGCTAGGCCCCTTCAATCAGGCTCACATAAAGCCCTCAGGCTCACGCTTTATGGTAGGCTCCGCTGCCGGCTCAAAAAAAGGCGCGCCTTGTATTTTTTAATCATTTATTCATATAATTTTTTTTCTTACTTAATAACTAATAAATTAAAAGGTTCTATATCATATTATATCATATTGTTTAAACTTATGAAATATCTGACAAAATTCATAAATTTATGGTTCATTCCTTACATTAACTGCAAAAACTGCTTGATTATGAATATCTATAATAAAATATGTTTAAATATCCATTATTAAATACATGCGCTTTACTTTGATCGGACTTGCGCCTTATACTGTGCCTTGTGCTTAGGCTCCAGAAGGCCTTTGGCGCCTTGAGCCTTTAACAACTATGAGTATTAAGGAATGGGCCCAACATATGTATATTGAGCTGATGAATGATATAAGGGTTAATTTCACTCACACCCCTTCAAGTTTGATCAAATATCACACTCAAACATTTTTCAAAAATAATTATCACTCACACTACAAACGTTTGTTCCGTTTTTCAGTCACACCTCAATCGTTATGTACTGAGCTCTGACACTATGTAATATGACTTAAATACCCTTTGACTTTGCCAAAGTACTATCTAATCTAAAATATTAAATAAAAAGACTATAATATCCCTGAATACTTTACAAATTTACAATTATATATATATATATTAATATTTATATATATATATATTAATTTTGATATATATATATATGAATATGTATATATATTAATATTTATATATAAGAGTAATATTTATATATATATTAATTTTGATATATATATATATATATATATATATATATATCTATAGGTATATATCATGTCGGCTGTCGCCTCTCCTTCCTCCCTCGCCACAACTGGTGCCACAATCGTTTTTGTCCTCTCTGACTGCGTCCATCAGATCCAAATCAAAACAATTGTTTTGTTGCCAATATCAGTCTTGATGGCTTAAATTCAGTTTTCGATGCCTTCATCGCACTACCGTTCGCGTGAAGTTGTGCTGGCAGACAACAGTAATCGCCGTCCATGGTTGCTTTTACAACCCCACTTTTGCCACCAAACATGGTGGATATCCCTTTGGAAGTAGAGATCGACCTTAGGTGTGGGTGTTTCTCCCATCAAGGTCCACCGAGTGCCCCAGTACGGTCATCCTGTAGTCAAGTGTGACCTGCGTGTCTGGTTGCTTTTACACTTTCTTCATCCCAACTGCAGGGATGAATTCACAACCAGAAGTTTCTTTTAGTTCAGATGTAAACCCTTTTATGCAATGGTTCAGCTTCCTTCATATAGTAAACTCATAACCGACATCACCACAGAATTCCTGGTTTGTTCCTTGTTCCGATACCATATTTGATTATTAAGAAATAATAAATATAAAAACAAACTAAAAACTAAGTTTGACCGCCAAGATTTTGACAGCAAAATATTCATTTTTGCAAAAGAAGAAAAAATAAAAATAAAAAACAAAGAGGCTTTGTGTGCGCTGATAAACAACCAGTAGCGGTAGGTACAACGGGTGACCTGCAGCAGGTACGGCGCGTGGGGAGCAAGTTGCCGCCTTTCTCACGCCGACCAGTTGTTGCTCAAAAGTAGCAGCCAAACTTGGTTGCTTTTACGAAAATGGAGCATATAGGTCACTGTTCAACGACCTTTAACAACGGTCATCACTGTCCATGGCACGACCCTTGGTTGCTTTTACGACCCCCACTTTTGCCACCGAATATGGCGGATATCCCTTTGGAAGCAGAGATCGACCTTAGGTGTGGGTCGTGATCGCCACCTAGTAGCTGTTATGATTGCTAGACCTCCAGCAACCGTGGACTAATTCCGGGAGCTGTTTGGTGACGAGGTGGTAGAGAGAAAGCTCTGACATCTAATTCCGGCGATAGTTAGTAGTGGGAGTATTCATTAAGGGTATAATAGTAATTTAAGTAAATAGATATTTTAAAGTAAATGGGATTAAAAAAATTAGTGGTAAAGTTGTCTTTTTACACGTTTTTAACAGAAACTGTGACGGAAAAGTAGAAATGGACTTAAGACTTAAGTGATAGTTATTTTCGAAAGATGGTTGAGTGTGAAATATAGCCAAACCTAAGGTAGTGTGAGTGAAATTAACCCATGATATAAATGAGTTCCATTTGGTTATGGCTATAGGAAACCTTCTTGGAGTATCTTTTGATGGTGATCCAGTTCAGGCTGAAGGAATGTTCCTTGATATTGATATGGACCAGCATGTGGTGGGGAAGGAAAGGACTCCATCTGGGAAAGGGGAGAGGGAGGTTAGGAGCTTAATATCGTATGTCAACTATGAAGGGACGAGTGGAGGGTCGAGGGATGAGGAGGGGGAAGGAGAACTCATTGGTGTGCTCATGAAATTATGCATTACTTCATGGAATGTCCGTGGTCTCAATGACCCGGAGAAAAGGAAGGTGGTGAGTTTGTCAGTTCGCAAGTGCGGTGTTCATGTGGTGTGTTTGCAAGAAACGAAATTTGGATCGGTTTCAGATAAGGTAGTTAGAAATCTTTTTTTTTTTTTTTTTTGGGGGGGGGGGTTTCTTGATGCTATGGGGTCCTCAGGGGGCATTTTGGTGATGTGGGATAAAAGATGGGTATCAGAGCTTGATGTGTGGATGGGAAGATTCTTGGTGTCTTGTATGTTTTCTTTGGAGGAGGATGGATTTTGCTGGATCTTTTCAAGTGTTTATGGTCCTAATGAAGATGAGGTACGGTTGTTGTTGTGGGAGGAGTTTTGGGCGATCCGAAGGAGATGGCCTCTTCCATGGTGCATTGGAGGGGATGTTCACGTTATTAGATCCTCGGCTAAGAGGTCGACAGGGAGGAGGTGGACTTTGGCTATGGCACAATTTTCGGACTTTGTTGATGATTCTCAGTTGATTGACTTACCATTGGATGGAGTGATGTTCACTTGGTCCAGTGGCAGAGTTTCTCCTATGCTTTCTCGGTTGGATAGATTCCTGGTATCCGGTGATTGGGAAGAGAAGTTTCCAGATTTGGTGCAGGCGGCATTGGCTAGACGAACTTCGGATCATATTCCTTTGGTTCTTGATTGCGGGGGTCTCTAGAAACGAAGTTCTCCTTTTAGATTTGAGAATATGTGGCTTCGAGCAGAGGTTTTTTTTGGAGAGGGTTCGTTCTTGGTGGGAGGTTATGATGTGATTGGCACCCCAAGCTTCATCCTTACGGGTACATTGCGTTGATTGAAGGAAGATATTAAAAGGTGGAATAAGGAAGAGTTTGGGACCTTGGAATGGAGAAAGAATCGAGTGTTTACAGAGATTGCTGATATCGATCGTATGGAGGGGCTGGCTGATATTGGGGAGGCTTTGAGAAATAGAAGGGCCAGTCAGAGATTGCGGTGCTTGAGGAGATTTCGTGAAGACAGAAATCTTGGGCTCTGTGGGTAAAGGAAGGAGATCGTAACACGAGATTCTTTCATAGACTTGCTAATGCCCATAGAAGGGGAAATCATATTGGGAGAATTTCGGTGGATGGTGTGTTGTTGTGCAAGGATGAGGAGGTGTGTAGCGGAATTGCATCTTTTTATCAGAAGTTGTTAACTGAGACTTCTAGTTGGAGACCTTTGCTTGGGGAGCTTCATTTTGACTCGATTTCTGTTGATAAGAATATTGGTCTCGTAAAACCTTTTACCGAAAAGGAAGTGCTTATGGCGCTAAAGAGCTGTAATGGGGACAAAGCATTGGGTCCTGATGGGTTTTTCGTGAGATTCCTGTTGGAGAGTTGGGAGGTGGTTAAGGGAGAGGTGATGGGTACATTTTATGCCTTTCACTCTCAGGGCCGCTTTGAGAGGAGTTTGAATGCCACATTCATTGCCCTTATTCCTAAGAAGGGGGGTGCGACGGATGTTAGGGACTTTAGACCTATTAGTTTGTTGGGGTGCATTTACAAATTGATAGTTAAAGTTCTTGCTTTGAGATTGAGGGAGGTGCTAGATTGGGGTGATATCGGATTCTCAAAACGTTTTTGTCGGAGGTTGCCAAATTCTTGATTCAGTTCTTATTGCTGGAGATTGCGTGGACTCTAGGCTGTGTAGTGGGGTGTGTATTATGCAAGCTGGACATTGAAAAAGCCTATGATCATGTTTCTTGGAGCTTTCTTCTTTATCTGTTGGAAAGGATGGGTTTCGGTGAGAGATGGTGAAGTTGGATTTTGTTTTGTATTTCAAGTGTTTGTTTCTCTGTCCTTGTGAATGGAGCTCTAACGGGTTTCTTCTGCAGTTCGAGGGGTTTGAGGCAGGGAGATCCACTCTATCCTTTTTTGTTCCTCATCGTGATGGAGGCTCTAAGCAGAATGCTGAGGGGGGCGGTGGATATGGGTTTCTTGAGGGGTTTTCAGGTGGGGAGAGACGCTCTTAGTCAGTTGGAGATTTCTCATTTGATGTTTGCTAATGATACTTTGGTTTTTTGTGATGCGGATGTTTCTCAAATGAGATATTTGAGATGCGTTCTGATATAGTTTCAAGTTATTTCTGGATTGAATATTAATATGGGAAAAAGTGTTTGGTTTCAGTTGGGGAGGTTCCTGATATTTCTGTTCTTGTTGATACCTTAGGTTGTTGCATTAGCTCTTTCCCTATCTCTTTTTTTTTTGATAAGTAAATCTCTTTCCCTATCTCTTACTTGGGGCTTCCTCTCGTGACGCCGTCGAGGAGAATGGATTTTTGGGATCCAGTGAGAAGCAGTATTTGTCGAAAGGTGGAAGAGTGACTTTGATGAAAAACACTTTTTCAAGCCTTCCTACTTATTTCCTTTCTCTCTTTCAGATTCCTTCTTTTGTTTCTGAGAGGATAGAGAGATTACAACGGAACTTTCTTTTGGGTGGGGGTTCAAATTTCATTTGGTTAATTGGGAGCAAGTGTGTCGTCCAATTAGGAATGGTGGGTTAGGTATCAGAAAACTTGTGCCTTTTAATAAGGCCCTTTTGGGGAAAGTGGTTATGGAGGTTTGGTTTAGAGAGGCACAAATTGTGGAGGAGGGTGATTGTGAGTAGATTAGGGGAGGACAGAGGTGGCTGGTGTTCGCTGGAGGTGAGACGTCCTAGTGGAGTTGGTGTGGAAATTCATCAGAAAGGGATGGGATGAATTTTTTAAGCATATCAGGTTTCGAGTCAGAAATGGTTGCAGAATTCGTTTTTGGGAGGATGTTTGGTGTGGGCAAGGGTCTCTTGCTCTTTCCTATCCCAGACTCTTCAGGATTGCCACGGATAGACATGCCTAGAAAATTCGCTGGAGGTGAGACGTCCTAGTGGAGTTGGTGTGGAAATTCATCAGAAAGGGATGGGATGAATTTTCTAAGCATATCAGGTTCCGAGTCAGAAATGGTTGCAGAATTCGTTTTTGGGAGGATGTTTGGTGTGGGCAACGGTCTCTTGCTCTCCCAGACTCTTCAGGATTGCCACGGATAGACATGCCTTGGTAAGTGACTGCTATCGTCTTGATAGTGGTAGATCATCCGGGATGTTTGTTTTTTGAGTCATTTTCAAGATTGGGAGATTGAGGAAGTAGTTGGTTTTTTGGAGTTACTGTATCATCAAGAGATTGTAAGTGGAGTCCCTGATTCTATGGTATGGGTCCCCTCTTCTTGGGGTCATTTTGAGGTTCGCCCATACTTTAGATTACTTAAGACTTCTCGAGGAGATGCATTCCTGTGGAAGACTATTTGGCATTCTAAGGCCCCCCTCAAGGTGGTTTTCTTTGTTTGGACATCTGTGTTGTTGGGAAAGATATTGACCCAGGATAACCTTAAGAGCTGCTAGAGGCTTGATTGAGGCCTGGAGAGACTGTTTAGTGGGGGCTCATGTTCGGGATTTCTTGGGAGATGTTGTAAATCCTTTGATGAAATAGTGGACTTTATTGACTCTTTGAGAGATTAGAGGCCATATTTGGTCTTGTATAGCTTTTAAGGGACGCGTTCCCCTTCTGAACGCTTCTTTTTATACAATCTTATCAAAAAAACAAAAATCAATATACACAAATATGTATCTTCAAGTCTACTGAGAAAGGAATTCAATTTTCATAAAACCACCACATATTTGTTTTTATAATATATAAACACGAATTCATAGGCACAAACTAAAAAAGAAATCAATAATATTGTTTCTAAACTAAAGTTGCTTCATTTATTTTTTATTTTATTTTATTTTATTTCCTTTTGCTGCTATTTTATTACATTTGTCCTTTCTGTAGGAACTAATATTTTACCATTTTGTTTCTTTCTTCAGAGGCTTTGTGATAATGATCCCGGGGTTATGGGTGCAACACTGTGCCCTCTTTTTGATCTTATCACCATAGATGTTAATTCTTATAAGGATTTGGTCATCAGTTTTGTCAGCATTCTGAAGCAAGTAGCTGAGCGCAGATTGCCAAAGAGTTATGATTACCATCAGATGCCTGCTCCATTTATTCAAGTATGTCATATCTCTGTATAATTTGTGGATATTACTTACTGAATCTAGAAATTATTTCCTTGTTCAGTATGAGGATGTAGGGAAGATGGTTACATAAGCTTTAATCGTTGATGTATATATAATTGCGCTGAGGAATGACAGGAAAATAGTTTCTGCAAACATCCAAATTTAATTTTCGTCTTTTTGTTCTCACTGTAGGGAAGGAATTCTGGTTTTTCACTAGGCGCAGCCTCAAATTTATTTAATTAAACAATTGCTAGAATCACAATCTATAGTTCAGTGGAAATAATCATTGGGAATTCTTTAAGGTTGATAGTGTTTGTAGCAAGATGATAATTGTATGTTTTTACATTTGTCTCTAGAGTCATGTGCAAATCTATTGGGTTTTAGTAATCCTCTTTTTAGCAAGTGTTTGATTTGTTACTATAAAGAGAAAAACTAAACAATGCAGGACAACCTATGAAGCTAGGCCTCTCAAAACCCTAGAGCGATTGGCATAACCAAACCAGCAATTGTCTAGCAACATAAGGAATTTAACACAAATGACCCTGGAAGCCACATATGGACAAGGGTGTTGTAGGAGTGCTAAATTATAAAATTCTAGGATTGGATGATAAGGAAATTATGGTCTTAAGTGATTAAAATAGGAGAAAGTGTTAAATACAAAGGGTGAGTGGTACATCCTGACCTTCCACGGTCGAGGGGTTCAAGTCGCTATAGGGGCAGAGTGGGTGCGTGAATTTCAAATAGGGAGAAAAAACCAAAAAACTTTGTTCCATGAGGGCTTTTCGAGGGTGTACTTGCCATAAAATTATATTTTGCATTCTTTGCACAAAAAATGATGCTTGGCAACGCAGGTGTTTCTCGTGGTGGAGATTTTTTCCTGGATTTTTCTTTGAGTCTCCATTATTTAGTGTTGGACTCTTTAAATTGAGGGTGCTGGTAATGGTGGGCTTGGTATAAAACTAACTTTTGGCATAATTTGCACAAAAAGTGACTCTTGGCGGCACGGGTGTTGCTAAAGAATAGATGGTTTGAACACCATAATTTTATCTTTGGTTTCTTCTCAACCTTGTAAAAATAGTCTTTCTTATTTGCAAGTCTTCCCTAGGAGGAGATTTGGGATTTTATTTTGATGATAGATAATTAGAAATTGGAGTTGTTTAGATACGTGAAGGAAATATAGTTATTTTGTTCTTCAAGCTAGCTTGGGCAAGTTATGCTGTTTAAGCAGAGATATTGTCTTCTAGACTTCTACTGAAGGCCAATTCCAGAAAAAAGGAAGGTAACGATTAGTGAAGATTTCCTTGAAGAAGGGGGGGTGTCTAGGTGGTTTGCTTGCAGGAATCTAAATTAGATACAACTTTGATTGGGATTGTTAGGAGTTTGTGGGGAGTCGATATATAGATTGGGTGGCTATTGATGTGGAAGGTACTGCACATGGCATTTTGGTTTTATAGGACAAGCGTTTGGGTCTCTATAGTGGAGGTGGAGAAGGGGTGGCTTGAAGTTTCATGCTTGTTTGCTTTGGAGGAGGATGGCGGTTGAATTGGGTCTTTTTTGGCCCCATTGATGATTGGCAAAGGGGTCTAATGTTGGTAAGCACGAGAATGCCGCAAGGACATAGAATTTCCCATTGTGCGTAGGGGGGCAATTTCAGTGTTGTCTGGTTCTCTACGGAGAGATACACGGGGTAGGTAGACAACAACTATGAAGGAGTTCTTGGAGTTTATTCCTAGACACAAGCTGTTTGACGTGGTCCAACTGCAGACAATCTCCAATCCTCTCTAGTCTGGACAGATTGCTGGTGTTAAGGGATTAGAAGAGAAATTAATGTATGTTGTTCAGGTGGCTTTGGCCAGGCTAGTGTCAGGCCACATTTTAGTTTTGTTAGATTGTGGAGAAATGAGGAAAGGAAAGTCTCTGTTCAGATCTGAAAACATTTTGCTCAGGGTGGATGACTTTAAGGACAGGATTAAACACTAGCGGGGTGAATACCACTGAGGTTAAGCCCTAGTTTTATTTTGGCACACAAGCTTAGGCTTTGAAATAAGATCGTAAGAAGTGGAAACACAAGATTTTTGGTAACTGGGAATGACAGAAATGCCTTTTGTTGTCTGAAATCTCACAAATAAGGGGACAGTGGCCTTGATGATGTGGAAAGGTGTAGAAGGGAGGAGTGTAAAGCGGAACTGTAACACCCCGAATTTTCTAATAAATTTGCTCAATTTATTCAATTCCAAATACATCAGTATTCACCTAGGATCACAAAAAGAAATAAAATATCCTTTATTGATCCTGGGTGAATACTGTTGTATTTGGATTTGAATAAATTGAGGAAATTTATTAGAAAATTCGGGGCGTTACAGGAGCTTGGAGGCATTGCAGTAATGGAAGAAGTGTCTTGGAGGCAAAATCTAGAGCTTTGTAACTCAAGGAGGGGATGGTTGATGAATGCGCATAGGAGGGGCAACCTAATAAGAAAAATACGCATTGCAGGAGAGGACTTAAGGAAGTAGGAGGATATAAAGGGGGGCTGAGAGTTGTTCTACCAACAACTATATACAGAAAAATCTTCTTGGAGTGCATTTGTGGCTGACCTAGAGTTTGCTGGCATTTCAAAGGAGGATAAAAAGTGGGTGGAGAGACCGTTAGTGGAAGAGGAGGAAGAGATGGCGTTTAAGAGTTGTAATGGTGATAGGGTGCCAGGGCTGGGTGGATTTACCATGGCTTTTCTCCAATAGAACTGGGAGGTGGTAGAAAAGAAGGTCATGGAAACTTTGGGTATTTTTTTTGTTTTTGTTTTTTGTTTTTTTTGTTTTCCTGTTTTTTTGAGTATGGTCAAAATGAGAAAAGTATTAATGCCTCCTTTATTGTTTTAATTCTGAAGAAAAGTGGAGCTGTAGAGACCAAGGAATTTAGATCCATTAGCCTGGTCAACTTATTTTTATTGTTATTGTTGTTGTAGAGTTGATGTAGTTATGCTATTTATTATGCAGATCAAGTTGCTGAAAATTTTGGCCTTACTGGGCAGTGGTGACAAGCAGGCAAGTGAAAATATGTATACCATTGTGGGTGACATAATGAGAAAATGTGATACGTCAAGTAACATTGGAAATGCAGTTCTTTATGAATGCATATGTTGTGTTTCCTCTATAAACCCTAATCCTAAGTTATTAGAAGCTGCAGCTGATGCAATTTCCAAATTTTTAAAGGTTTGCCTCTCTGTCCGCTCACACATTTACTTTTTTTTATATTTAAATTGGTACTAATATGTTCCCATCTGGTGGCCAGAGTGATAGTCATAATTTAAGATACATGGGCATTGATGCCCTTGGTCGACTGATAAAGATAAGTCCTGAAATCGCTGAACAACACCAACTGGCTGTGATTGATTGCTTGGAGGTGAGACAATATCTTCACAAATGCATTTGACATGACCTCCATTTGAGTTCGTGGAGCCGTTGGAATTCCAGAGTGATCCATGTTTTTTGTTCTTTAACTGTTGTTTCCTTTTACATTAAACAAGTTTCTGTTTTCACAGTCTTATTTATATTGTCTTAAAAATAAAATATTTTATTTTTCATTTCTGTTTGTTTTTGTCTAATGGTTGGCTGTTGTACATAAGTTGCATCATAGATCATTTGGATAATGAATTTTTGAGATCTGTGCTGGTTTGGTCCTTTGATAAGTTAAAATGTGTTTGTTTTGTCACCTATAGTCTAATTGAAATCTGACTTGTTCAATGTCACAGGACCCAGATGATACTCTAAAGCGAAAAACCTTTGAGTTGCTGTACAAAATGACGAAGTCTTCCAATGTGGAAGTAATTGTGGACCGTATGATCGATTACATGATAAGCATTAATGATAATCATTACAAAACAGAAATAGCATCCAGATGTGTTGAACTTGCAGAGCAATTTGCACCAAGCAACCATTGGTTTATCCAGGTTATTTAAATATTCTTGTTCTTTTTTATTTATTTCTGACAGCATTATATATATGTTTTCTGAACCATCATTGGATACCTTTTTTTGACTTCTCTATTCCACAGACTATGAATAAAGTATTCGAGCATGCGGGGGATCTAGTGAACATTAAGGTGGCACATAACTTGATGCGGTTGATTGCTGAAGGGTTTGGAGAGGACGATGATACTGCAGATAGTCAACTGAGATCATCTGCTGTATGTTCTCTGAATGAATATTACTTGTTTCTCAATCCACGTGCTTTTGCCACTGTTTGTGCGACTGGATAATTGTCTTTAATAATTATAAAAGTAGGATTGTGTTTTAAGCTTCTATAGGTTTCTGAAGAACAACATAATAGTGGAGGGTTTTAGAGGAGTAAGACACAAAGATCTCCCTGCCCCTTTTTCTTTTTAATTTAGTTGCCTTTATCTTAGTTGAATTGTGTTTCCAGTTGAAGACTGGCTTCTTTTGTTAAGATATTTTGTGGGTAGTGATAAAGTGTGTTGTACAGCTCCAGTGGAGATACCATTCTCTTATAGTTTGAAGGATAAGAGAGGTTTATGAATTTTAAACCTGGAGTGGTTTGAGAGGATTTTTGTGGTTAAAAAGATCTTAAAGAAGTTTGAGTACTGGCATTAGAGTAGAGGATAGATTGCTCTTATTGCCAAGTTATGGTTCATTTCGCTGGTGATTTGTCCATGTAGGAGGAATGTTTTTTTTTTTTAGTTAACCCATGGATTGCATAGTCGAAGTTTTGGGTGGAGAATAGAAGCGAAAGGGATGAAGTTTGGAAGAAGGTTATATTTCTCTCTTTCTTTCTGTGGCTGGGGCTTATTTAATTGGTTTCGGCAGTGCCCCTCACTCCCTTGCTATATTTATTGTGCTTAGGATGCCTGTTGATTTTGTGCATAAAGATGAGGAGATGCGAATTGCAAAGATCTTCTTTCTTCTTTCTTGGGGGATGGGAATAAGGATAGTTGATATACACTTATATTGCAAGGGAAAGTGAGATCTTACTTTAAAATATGACGATCCACCTCTTTGCAGTAAAATGAGCATTTTCAAGGCTTCTTCACTCATTGCAACATATGGACTTTGAGAAATTTTGAATTTTCTTTTTCTGTTTTTCTTTCCCATTAATTATTTATAAACAAAATGGTGGAAGAAATTAAAAATGCTGGAATTACCTTTCCCATATCAATAAAACATGTGAATTTCAGGGATGGATACTTCAATAACACAGCTACACCTGTTTCTGATTCTCTGTCTTTTTCCTCTTTATTTGTTGTGTCTTTGCATACCTACAGGTGGAGTCATATTTGCGTCTAATTGGAGAGCCGAAACTTCCATCTGCATTCCTTCAAGTAAATTCTATTATAATCTTGGTTTCAGCTTATTATCTGTTTTTTGTACATGTGAATATTTCTGAAGACATCATTCTTGTGTTTTATCCATTTATTTGTTGGTTTTGAGTTACAGGTCATTTGCTGGGTGTTGGGGGAGTATGGAACTGCAGATGGGAAGTATTCTGCATCCTATATCACTGAGAGGTTATGCGATGTGGCAGAGGCTTATTCAAGTGATGACACTGTCAAGGTTCTTGTGATATTGTCTTTTTTTTTCTTTTTGTCCGAGTGATATGGAACTTCTTTAATTTCTGACACAGTTTAATAGTGTTTTTTTCACTGTTTATAATCCATTATAAATATATTGAATCCCAATTCTGCTGGATAGAAAATCCATGTAGAAGTTGAATTAGGCCATCTTTTCCTGTTAGCATTCTGCTCTATTATACCCACTTTAACAGTGTTATGTTCTGTGGTAGAAAGTTGTTCAGAAGCTGTTAGAGAAATTGCAAATTAGTTGTTCCAATTTTGTTTTTACCTAGCAAAGTATTGTCATTGTCTTTTTAATCTGGCTTTGATAAGTGCCATGTTAAAGCCTGTCCTTTTTGTCACTTATGCTACTAACCACGTGCCATGCATCTGCTAAAAGTGCTTGAGAACTTCTACTTGGGGGTTTTAATACTCCAATGCCAAAATAACAATAATGGTAATAATTATTGTTGATAATAATAATAAATGAAATCAAATTGGTTCATAGAATCAGGAATTACGTGTTGGTTCTGTAGGTGGTTGTGATGGGACATTAGTGCATCTTGGGTTGTGTGGGTAGTGAGTATATATATAGTAGATGAAAAGTTGGGTAATTGGATAATTAATGTGAGAGTTTGGGAACTAAAAGAGGAGGAACGCCCAAGCTGGCCTCCTTCACGGGTAAGAACAAGTTCACATGGGGTGTGGTAACATATGTATGTGTGCGTGTGTGTGTATATATATATATACGATTTCTTTTGATTATTTGTTAAAGAAGATGCTCTTGACGAGATTCATAGAATCAGTACTACCAAGGCTTGAAGTAAATATATATATATATATATATATATTTGAACTTTGTGATGACCTTTTTTTTTTTTTTTTCTGTTCTATTTTTTCATTTTGAAGGCGTATGGAGTGACAGCACTTATGAAATTATATGCTTTTGAAATAGCAGCTGGGAGAAAAGTGGACATTCTACCTGAGGTAGGTCTTTGTAGCACTTAACCATGCTTCTCTTCCTTTTTCCATCAAAATTGATTTCTGCAATTCCGTAATTAATCACATGTTAGCACCCATTTCAGTTTTGATCTACTCTCAATTTATATAACCACTTGATTTTCATACTTAGACCCTAAAGTGACGGTGGATCCTTGAGGTAGTATATTGAAGTGTTTGCTGTAGGGGTCTGTCCAATATTTTGATATGACTGTCTATTGTATCAGTTAAGAATTTCTTCGGTAGTTATTGATTTGGTCACTTACCTTGAATTCTTTGTTCTATATTTTTTTTGGGATCACCTTTAGTTAGTTTAGATGAGTACCTTTACAATGGTTATTTTTAGCCTTTATATTGCTTTCTTTTAAATTAGAGAAAATACACATGATAATTTAGTAAAGCCCCATTTTTGTTTGCACAGTGATTACAATTTATTCTGATGTTATGAAGGTATGCACATAAATCTTGCAATTCACAATATTTGGGGCATCTGCTCAGATATTGTTTTCTGATAAGGAGAGCATATAGATTAGGATATCAAAGTAGGGGTATGTTTGTGTCGTGGGAGGTTGACTCTGGTGTTTGCATAATGCAAATTGTAATGGTACACTGGTTGGACTGATTAGGTTTCATGCTCAATGATAATTTAGAAATTCATATTTAATACTTAAATATGTGTTCTGGTTTTATCCATGTGCATGTGTTTAGAAGTTCATATTTGTCCATTTGCACTGTCAGGACTGTGGAGTGATATAATTAAGATTCAAGGATCTTAAAGGACAAAGAAAAGGCCTAGAAGGATTTTGCTTACAGTTACTAGAAAGGAAATGTAAGCATGCGCTTTCATAGAGTGTGGCTTAAATGGAGTGTGAATATGACTTGTGCAGTCAACCCTAAATAGTTGGTAGTAAGGCTGTATCTAGTGAGTAAAATTGTAGACATTATTTGAGGAATGGACATATGGTTTTGGGAAAGTTTAGATGATGCTAAAGCAAATGCAAAATAACACAAGAACGAAGGAATAATTGCTAGGTGTGGGGTTTTTACTTTAGTGCCATGGTAGGCTCACGTTGACTAGTGTGAAGATTTGAGTTCCAAGTATGGGAGCAGTCACTTTTTGTAAAATAATGCAAATGTTAGTTATGTTTCCAGTCTTCCTTGTTGGAAGATATATTTTTTCCCTCAATTTTAGGGATTAAATTGATTTCTGACTTTTCTAAATTAGAACAAGTTTGTAGGACAGATTGATTGCAATAAAATAGGATAGATTGATTGCTTTAAATTAGGAACATATTGTAGGAAGATTTTTGATTCTTTTCATTGTATAGCTTTCCCTCTTTTCTATATATACTTGTACAAAATGTTAATATATTATGAGAATATTTACACAGAAAATTTCTACATTCCTCTCCCACCGCATGGGCGGGACTAACATCCAGTGATGAAACCCTTTTTTTTTTTTTGTTGTAATGGATAAAATAGCTACCTACAAGTGTAAATGCAAGTTGTTCGATAAAAATGTTTGATAAATTGCTTGGATATAATCTGGAGTTGAATTCACTAGAGTAAGAGTTGTTTGGAATGTAAATATTTCTCCTGTTAACTGGGATAAATTTGAGCCCAAAGCTTGCTAATACTCTTGGTACCAGAGACAGGTGAGAGGAATAGAATTTATGGCATTATTTGCCTAGTTGAAGTTGGTGTTGGTTTCTCAATATGTCGTGTTCCAAGAGATTAGTCAAACAAATTATTCAATGTGATGAACTGTTGAAGTTTCCATCTCTGTCCTTGCCTGCACATGCTGTTCTTTTCGTTGATGCCTTGTTAAGATGCAATGGGAGGTGTATCTGTCACTTCAAGCTCAACCTGGACCTTGTTTGGCTCCCGTATATCAATATTTTCTTTTTCGTATTATTCAAGTGATGAGGGACTTCTTCTTCCTAAGAAAAAGGAAGCAGTATTTTTCTTGCTATCAGAAGCTGTTGAGAGAACTACAATTTTGTTCAGCATTATTTTATTGTAGTTTAAGTTTGTTTCTTGATCTATAGATATTGCAAGAGGTTAGTAAGTGGGAATGTGGGATTGGGGATGGGAGGGGATCCCCTACCCATACCTACCCTGTTGCCATTCCCGAGTGTCAGATCTCAAGTTTGCTGTAGTTAAAGTTTGTTTTCATACGCTTATTTGTTAATTCTATTTTCACAAGTTTACAAAGTTTTAACTAAATTAATAATAATAGCAACCAATTTCTGTAGTTTTGTAAATTAAGTTGTCCAATAGAATAATCAACAATCTGCAGTGTCATGATAGCAAGTACTTATAAAAAGCGCAGCCACAAAAAAGGTTAAGCAAGGCTGGCAGACTATACCTGTAGAGTTGTGCGTTTCTTGTAAATCGCTTGAGGCCAAGGAAGGCACAAATCTCGCACCTGGAGGTGCCTTGTGCCCTTTTTGGCCTAAGCGCACTTTTCATGACTATGCTCCAATCTTCCCATCGTAGCACTCCGGCAGGTGGACTATACACTGGGTGGTGCACTTTTTAACCTTGGTCTAATACAAACCCTCAAAATGTTAACGTTTTGCATGTTTAACCTGTCGGGAACGTTTCCAAAATCTAAGGGCAATTTAGGGAAGTTCTAATTTTTGTACATTGACTTTTAAAGGGATCTTATTCTGGGACCTTTTTAAAAGGAAAGAGGGAAACTTATCTTAGGGTAGAGAGTGAAACTAACCAACTAGAAAGCTCTCGGTCATCTAGTATTGTTACTTTTCTCTCTTATGACCATAGAGCAAGTCAATTACTTCCTCAACGATACGGAAGAAACGGGTAAATTTCCATTCATTATTGACTTAAATGTGAGGTCATCATCAAGTCTTTATTCTTTGCTTTATGAATTAATTGACTAGACTCATTTAGGATGAGTTCTGTTGATGTATGCTATTAGAAGTCGATGGTGTTTGCCTTGGTGTATTGGTGGGGACTTCAATGTGGTTCGCTTTCCTTTTGAGAGGTCAACGGGTGGTAGGTGGACGTCTGATATGGTGGCTTTTTCGGAGTTTATTGATGAATTCGGGTTGGTTGATTTGCCTTTGGTTGGAGGGCCGTTTACTTGGTCCAGTGGCCGTACCCCTCCTACCCTTTCCCGGATTGACAGAATCCTTGTGTCGGGGGAGTGGGAGGAGAGGTTCTCGGAAGTTGTTCAAGCATCGTTGCCTCGTCCTATCTCTGACCATGTTCCGTTGTTGTTGGATTGTGGCGGGTTGTGCAGTAGACGATCTCCTTTCAGATTTGAGAATATGTGGTTGCGGGCTGAGGGCTTTCTTGAGCGGGTTCGTCTTTGGTGGGAGGGGTATGGTGTGGTGGGTACCCCTAGTCATCTGCTTGCAGGCAAATTGCGTCTTTTAAAGGAGAATCTTAAGACTTGGAATAAAAAGGTCTTTGGGAATCTGGAATGGAGAAAAAATCGGGTTCTTACGGAGATTGCCACTATTGACCGTATGGAGGGTCAAGGGGATTTGGTGGAAGCTTTGAAGCTTAGCAGGGCAGAGTGCAAGGCCGAGTTTTCTGAGATTGCTATCATGGAGGAGATCTCGTGGAGGCAAAAATCTCGAGCCTTATGGCTCAAGGAAGGGGATAGAAACACGAAATTTTTCCATAGATTGGCCAATGCTCATAGAAGAGGAAATCACATAGGGAGGATTCGAGTTGAGGGGGTTGAGTAAGGCGGAGGATATCTGCAAAGGAATTTCAGACTGTTGGGTGTGAGGGATTTTCGCCCTATTAGTTTGGTGGGTTGTATCTACAAGTTGATTGCCAAAGTGCTCGCTTCTAGATTGAGGAAAGTTTTGGATGGTATCATTTCGGACTCTCAAAATGCTTTTGTAGGAGGCCGTCAGATTTTGGATTCAGTCCTTATTGCTAGTGAGTGTGTGGACTACAGATTGCGTAGTGGGGTCCCGGGTGTTCTTTGTAAGTTGGACATTGAGAAAGCGTATGACCATGTGAGTTGGAGCTTTCTTCTGTACTTGATGGAGAGGATGGGGTTCGGTGTTAGGTGGAGGAGATGGATTCAGTTTTGTATTTCCAGTGCTTGCTTTTCGGTCCTTGTTAATGGTGCTCCTGCCGGTTTTTTCTCTAGCTCAAGGGGCTTGAGACAGGGGGATCCTCTCTCCCCCTTCTTGTTCTTGCTTGTGATGGATGCCCTTAGTAGATTGATGCGAAGGGCTGCTGATTTGGGTCTTGTGAGAGGCTTTCGGGTAGGCAGGGATGCTGCTTCTCAGTTGGAGATCTCTCATTTGATGTTTGCTGATGACACTCTGGTTCTTTGTGATGCGAATGTGTCCCAGATTAGATATCTGAGATGTGTCTTGATTTGGTTCCAAGTCGTCTCCGGCCTTAAGGTGAATGTGGGCAAGAGCGTTTTGGTGCCGGTTGGGGAGGTTCCTGAGATTGAGACTTTTGCTGACATCCTTGGATGTCGCACTGGTGCTTTTCCCATTTCTTACTTAGGTTTGTCTCTGGGAGCTCCTTCGAGGTGTGTGGGGATTTGGGATCCAGTTGTGGATAGACTTGAGAGAAGGTTGGCAGGTTGGAAGAAGCAGTATCTTTCCAAGGGCGGCAGGGTCACTCTGATTAAGAGTACCCTCTCTAGCCTTCCCACTTATTTTATATCTCTCTTTCAGATTCCATCTTCAGTTGCGGGGAGGATTGAGAGGTTGCAGTGTAATTTTCTGTTGGGGGGCAGAGGTGAAGAGTTTAAGTTCCATTTGGTGAGATGGGATCAGGTATGCAGGCCTATTCGGAATGGTGGGCTGGGTCTTCGTAGATTGGTGCCCTTTAATAAGGCCCTTCTTAGAAAATGGTTGTGGAGGTTTGGTGTGGAGAGACATTGGCTTTGGAGGAGGGTTGTGGCTTGTAGTTTTGGAGAGATGAGAGGAGGGTGGAGCTCTTTGGAAGTTAGAAATCCGCGGGGGGTGGGAGTTTGGAAATTTATTCGGAAGGGTTGGGATGATTTTTCCAAGCACATGTGGTTTCGTCTTAGAGATGGGAGGAGGATTTGTTTTTAGGAGGATGTGTGGTGTGGTGATGCTCCTCTTGCTCTTGCCTTTCCTCAGTTTTACAAGATTGCTTCGGATAGGCAGGCCTTGGTGGTTAACTGTTATCATCTTGATAATGGGAGACTGGTTTGGGATGTTCGATTCAGGCGTGCCTTTCAGGATTGGGAGATTGATGAGGCAATTCGTCTCTTGGAGTTGTTATATCGCCAGAGGATTGTGGTGGAGGATTCGGATTGTTGGTATTGGGTCGTAAACTCCAAGGGGCGTTTTGAGGTGAAGTCTTTGTTCAAGTGCCTCTCTTTTGATCCTGGAGTTCGTTTTCCTTGGAAGTCTGTTTGGCGTTCTAAGGCTCCTCTCAAAGTGGCTTTCTTTGTGTGGACTTCGGTTCTGGGTAGGATCTTAACCCAGGATAATTTGAGAAGGAGAAGCCAGGTGGTGGTCAATCGTTGTTATATGTGTCTTCGTGATGAGGAATCTGTGGATCACCTTCTTATTCATTGCTCTTTGGCTAGAGAGTGTTGGGATTTGATGCTTGGCTTATTTGGGTTTTATTGGGTTATGCCAGGATCTACTAGAGAGTTGATTGAGATGTGGAGAGGTTGCCATGTGGGGGCTCTCAGTCAGGATGCGTGGAGAGCTACGCCGCTTTGTGTGTGATGGTGTATTTGGCTTGAAAGGAATAGGAGATACTTTGAAGGAAAGGCGATGTCGATTTCGGTGCTTAAATTCTCGATTATTTCAACTCTTTTTTGTTGGGTTTCAGGGAGAGATCATAGATCGTTGGGGGAAATTGTTGATTTTTTGGCCTCTATGAAGGCTTGAGTCCTTTGTGCTCTTTTGTATTTCCTTGGGTTTCGCTCCCCTCTTGAGCGTCTTTTAATAATATTCTTTTATTTATCAAAAAAAAAATGATGATATTGTTTTTATTGAAAAAACTAAAGCACAGATGATTACTATTAATAGGGTTTTAGGATAAATAGGAATAGAAATAATCATTAAACATATAGAATATAGTTTTAGAACAATTAGAAACATAGATTGGGATGTGTTGAATTGATAGTCGATAATTGCTAAAAAGAAAATAATTTTGTTTGGCTTGATTATTTTGCAAGCGAAGAAAACTTCGAAATGATGTTACTCATAGATTAAAATAGAATGAATTATGGAGGGGTGCTTCTAAAATATTGTACAATTGATGTATGTGTAAAGGTAAATTTTATAAAATTTTCATTGGATCAGTTATGTTTTTATCCAATAATTATAACAATAAGGATGACTTGATCTGCATTAAGGGTAATGAAAGGGGAAGCGAGACTTGTGTGTGATTACCAACTAGGAAAAAAAAAAAAGAAAAAAAAAAAGGGGGAAGCGAGACCAAAATAACATGGATTGAGTTGGTAGAGAAAGATAAGATAGCCATGTTGTTTAACTGGAAATTTAGTGGAGATAGCGACACAGAATTTATGTTGCCTATCTTGTTTAGTGGTAAACAATGCTAAAGTTGGGTTGAGGTTGAGTGGGATTGAAGCTAGCTATAGATAGTTTCTTATGATAATATGGATCAACTTAAATTTCATGGATGGTGTAGTGGGTGAAGACTAATTTTTGTAGGTTAATGCATATTAGCTTGTTTGTCGTCTTTATGTCTATATGGCTAAAAGTGCTTTAAATAAGCTTCTTGACTCAAAATATCAACTACAATTTGTTGATGTGCGGGATCACAACTTGAAAAATCAATCATTCATGTCTTTATTTTCCTATTTTGGTACTCACTCACACATGCCTCCATTGAGGTTCGAACCCCTAACCTCCTTTTGGGAAGTAGGGGCCTGGTATTGCTAGGCCACAGGCCTGTTGGTAATCAGTCATTCATGTCCATAAAATGAAATTGGCTCTTGAGATTGATTATAAGCCAATGAGCCATAGGCTCTTGAAATTGATTAAAAGCCAATGAGCCATATACCATTGTTACTTTCACATATCTAATCATTGTTAGAGCAATTAGCAATTTACCATGATTTATTTGGGTCACTGCCTTTTTGCTGATGGAGTCCGAAAGTTGAGATAAAACTGTATTGTGCATCTGGATCGTCACAGAGAAGGATATTGAATTTAAGGAGTGATGATTTCTTTTCTATGCTTATAGAGTCAATACCATTAGAATCACCTGTGTTTGATATTCTGACCTTGGAAGAATTTTTTTCAGATTGATTAATTTTCTTTTCTTATTGCAGTGTCAATCCTTGATTGAAGAACTATCAGCATCCCATTCAACAGATTTGCAGCAACGTGCATATGAACTTCAAGCAGTCATCTGCTTAGATGCTCATGCTGTTGAGAGTATAATGCCATCAGATGCAAGTTGTGAAGACATTGAGGTCCTATCTAGCATCCAAATCTAGACTAGTTTATTTCAATTATAGTTGGATCCTTGGCTTGTCAACTTGCTTTCTCACTCTTGTTTGAACGAGATTATAGTTATGCATGTCTTGTATGCTTCACTGTTAGTCAGACTCTTCGAAAATATATATTTTTCTTAATTTGATTCGTTTATCTATTTTTCTGAATTGTTCATCCACTCACTGCACTTCCATTTCGAGCAACAGCAGCCTTCGCAACAATGAATAGATCATCTTTATAAAAGGTGCAAGACACTCTCAAACCAGACCCAACCACAGAATTGCAGAGCTTCAAAGTACCTGCATGACTATATCCTGCCAATCAATGCAGGGCTTTTGCTTCCAATAGAATTCTTCTGCTTTCCATCCTCTATCAATCTATTTTTACAATCGTTACACTCAGCTGAACTCCATTTTTGTGGTTTCTCCTTTTCCTCTCAACAGATCTTCCAATCTGCTAATTTTCCATTTTGAATTCCACAGCTTTGAACAGCTGGCTGTTCTCCTTGTTTATTTGTAGACTATCTCTGATGCATCCTATTTGTGAAATATGGGGTCATCCCAGTATCTTAGTGATTGATATTCTTACAGTATCTTAGTCACCGAGTCTTTTCGCCTATGCCTCGTGACAACATATTCAATTTGTTGTCTTACGTGTATCCTGTGTTCATGTTTATTGTGTGTTTTTCCTGTATTTAATATTTGGAAGGTGCCTAATTTCTTATGAGCATTGACCGTTCCCTTCGTTCATGTTGTTAACATCATTTTTTGCCAGAATGCTAATATCTCTTGATCTTCCTTGCAGATTGATAAAAGCCTATCATTTCTCAACAGTTATGTACAACAGTCGCTGGAAAATGGGGCTCAACCCTATATCCCTGAGAATGAGCGTTCTGGAGTATTAAATATGAGCAACTTTAGAAACCAAGATCAGCACGAAACTTCAACACATGCTCTTAGATTTGAGGCCTATGAGCTCCCAAAACATTCTGCGCCATTAACAATTCCTCTTGCTGCACCAGCATTCTCAACTGAGCTTGTTCCAGTACCTGAACCATCTTACCCTAAGGAAATCCACCAAACTGCATCACTGCCATCTGTATCTGATACCGGACCTTCAGAACTCAAGCTACGACTTGATGGGGTTCAAAAGAAGTGGGGTAGGCCAACTTACTCTACTGCACCATCTGTGTCGAACTCTAATTCCCAAAGGCCTGTTAATGGAGTAACACAGCCTGATGGATCGGGCAGTGGACACTCAAAAGTGCCTGATGTCTCTTACGATTCAAGAAGGCCGCCCCAAGTTGAAATTTCTCATGAAAAGCAAAAGCTTGCTGCTTCCTTATTTGGGGGTCAATCAAAACCTGAGAAAAGACCATCTTCTAAGGTTTCAAGGACAAGCAGCCAGGCAACAGATAAGTCCCATGCGACAAAGGGAGTGGCTTTATCTTCTGAATCGGTTGCAGAGAAGACAAATCTTCAACCACCTCCGGATTTGCTTGACTTGGGTGAACCAACTGTTACAAGTAGTACTCCATCTGTGGATCCATTCAAGCAATTGGAAGGGCTTCTTGACTCATCACAAGATGCTTCTACTCCAAATCATGGTTCGGTAGATGCTACTAAAGCACAAGATTTTCTGTCACTGTATGGAGAGATGCCTCCAAGCGGGCAGAGTGGTAATGTTGCAAATCCTATTTCAACGGATGAGGTTAATTTCATGTCTGGGTTGCCAAATGTAACCAGCAGAAGTGCCACGGAAGGAAATACAACTGTGCACTCAACACAACCGAACAAAGGACCCAATCTGAAAGATGCCTTGGAAAAGGATGCACTTGTGAGGCAGATGGGTGTGACACCAACAAACCAAAATCCAAACTTGTTCAGCGATTTGCTTGGATAATATTTTTATTGAGTTGGTCATGCTGCAATGATACCATTCTCTGAGCATAATTGCTGTGTTATTCAGGCAAGATATTTTCTTGCACATTTTACTGCTTATGGTGCAGTTATTTGATGATAGAAATTACAAGTGACAGAGAACAGTTCCCAAAGCATCCAGAACAGAGTGTTTAACCTCTAGGGGTGGTGCTGAAGCCAGGAACAGCTCTATGTAGTTGTTGCAGGATGGTATGGTACTTGTAGAATAGAATGAGTTCGGAGTATAATGCTCCCCTGAGCAATAAGTGGAGACTTTGTGCATGTATACTGCCTTTTAGATTTTGGAGGACGAGGGGGACCATACATACGGCGCAATCATTCTCGTGTTGTTATAATAATGGTGTACTAGAGAGATTTTCCGTTTAGGTTTCTGTATTTATTTGGACTTAATTCTCTACGCCCATTTTCGGTGAAAAATGTACGTTTCTCCGTTTTTTTGTTGAAAGGTTGAGTTTGCCTAATGGGAACAAATTCATCTGGTTTGATATATTATTCTCATGCTCTTCAGCAAGGTCTAAATATACCGAGGATTCATATTTATCACTGGTGAGATCTTTTCATTAGAGTGTTATGAATTGGATTAATTCTATACGCGTACAGGGGTGCACTGAAAAAAGAAGATGATTTATGTTAGTAAATAAAAGAAAACACAGAAAGTTGACCCTGCTCTGCGGTTAGTCTTTTCATGTTTTTTGAATGAGTTGAAAGGCCTAGCCTTATCACACAGCTGTGCCCTCCAAATTCGTGCAGCAAAAAAGACACAAAACAAATGAAAATTTTCCCAAATTGCATCTTGAAGCCCCCTTTTTAATGAGGCTTTTAAGAAATGACGGACCCTATCAATGGAGAATTGAATCTCTTCATTTTTATTTTTTGTCCAAGTGCTTACATGCTATTTTGCTCACCAGGTTGGGGTCTACTATTTATTTATTTTTGGAAGTTAGAACAATTGTATATATATATAATTAAAAGAGGTTGGGCTAAGCCCAGTTTTTCTAACCTAAAGCTATCCTTGATGGACTTGTTAGGCCCACTGGGCAGTTCATATGTTAAGTTAGCAATTCTATTCTTTTAAAGAGAGGAGGGCCCATGGAGAATAATACTGGAATTCAAACCGAGTAACCGTTGTAACGTTCGAATCTCTCTCTTACTCTGTTCCGGTATCTATCTACCAGGTTGATTATCTGGTCATGAGTCTCATGACCACCATTACCATCTATCTAATCAGGAGGTCTTGGAGGAGGCCTGATGGGATCAGAAGGGAGGACCCATTTACTGTAGGCTCTGTCTGCTTCAAATCGAGATCTGATTTGTTTGCTTCGACAACAACTTTGCTTGGATCTAATCTGTAATACTGGATTCTTGTTCTTGAACAATCGAAGGTTGCTACACATGCCGAGGAAGTACTTTTGGAGGGAGAATTCTTGAAGCATTTTGGTTTCTCGGTGGTAGGAAGTCCATGCAATTAGGGAGTTCCAATTTGTTGGGCTGACAAAAATAAATGCACTTCTGCGGAAGAAAATGCCATATTGGCTCGGCGAATTGGCAAGCAAAAAATAGGTGGTTGTGGCTTTCTCCTTCAAATAGGCATTTGTCTCGCAGCTTCTTTTTAATCAGGTATGTTCTTTCCCACTTAACCCATAAGCGCTGCGTGTTGTTACAAAGTAGAGCCCATAGATGTCTACATATGTCTCTCTTTTTTTTTTTTTTTTTTTTTTTTTTTTTTTTTTTTTTTTGTGCGCGTGCCCAAATCAGTGATTTCAAGGTTCTTTTTTTTCAATCACTTGATTAGTGTGAGTTCATGTTCCACTTCATGAATTCACATGAAATTTTGTCCAACTTTAATCTATGGAGTATTCTTCAATTTTTTTATAAAGTCCATATGATATGATGATGTGATAGCAGTGCAAAGTGCAAAATAAATATTTGTGATAGGCGTCTCAGAAAGAAAAAAAAAGATTTTGAGATGCCTAGCATCATTATTCTTTCGTTTTAAATCCGGTGGCTGGAGAAATTATCTATTTGATTCGTAGCCCTTTTTATCTATTTTTTCCCCTGTTCCAATAACTCTACAATGTGTGAGGAACTGAAAAAAGAGCGTAATACCGAAACAGAAATAATACCCTTATTTATAAAAAAATGGATTGGACAACAATTGAATTAGAGTATTAACATCATGGTATATAGACAACTAGAAACAGCTGAATACTTACAACTTTATACAGGCAGCTCAGGTTGAATATCAGGTTCCATACAACTTGAAATCCTATCCACAATATAGTTCATGTCTGGTCTTCCATGACAGTTTTCTAGTAGAGCTAAATTGGCTACATCTATCAACACATGAAGCTGTTGTACATTTACATCACCTTTGAGCTTTGAGTCCAACATCCCAACCATAACCTCCACATTCTTATTCTTCCGGCACTCCTCAGTCCACTCCGCCAGTGTCGTTGAGCCCTGCACGGACTTGAGCCCCGTTATTAGCTCAAGCAGTAGAACCCCAAAGCTATAAACATCGCTCTTCGGTGACACCAGGCCTGTGTTGAGGTAACAGGTGTCGACATAGCCTAGTGAACCTTTAATAGTAGTTGGAGTTTGTGCACTTTGAATGTCATGTCCCAACTTGCATAGCCCAAAATCAGCAAGCTTGGCGTGGTTGTCGTTGACTAAGAGAATGTTGGATGACTTGACATCTCTGTGTATGACCGCAGGGTCGGCTACTGAATGGAGATAGTCCAGAGCTCGGGCAATGTCCAAGGCAATGCTGAGGCGACTGGACCATGAAAGTGTGCCCGAGGATTGGCCATGGCGTGTGTGCATGCGATCGAAAAGGCTCTTGTTTGGAACATACTCCAACAGTAGAAGTTGTTCTCCTGCATCAATACATGTAGAACACTGTCCTCAGATAAATATAGCTAGCTAGGATCATCTGTGAGTAATTTGTTAAATTTAAACATCTGTGAATTTATAGTTTTGAATTGTTTAGTCCCAATTAAGTTAGACATCCAAGTCCATCTGAGTTGGGTTAACCGATTTCATTGTGTAATCAATTAATTAGTATCTAGGAGTTGCCCAAGCCTAAAATATTATGAGAAAAGACATGTCCAAGGTTGATGAATAAATAAATAAATAAATAAAAAAGACATGTTCAAGGTTGTTGAATAAATAAATAAATAAAGAAGACATTTCCGGGTGGAAAAGCCTATGGTTCAAGTCCTATTCATTGTGATTAAGACTCACACCAAACATGCACACATACTATATGTTCAAACATAATGTGGTACCCAAGACCAAGTGCAAGAAAAACAAGTTCAACTGTTTAACTATTGGATTGCAAGTGAGGCACAAGTAAAAAATTTCTGGAAAAAAAGATAAAAAAATTTCTGAAAAAAAAAAAAAAAAAAAATTTCCTTCCATGGTACAATAATGTACCTAAATTAGGGAGAAAATAAAATGGCTTAAAGAATTAATTCAAACATATGGTATAATAATATTATCATATGTTTTATACAATTACACATGTATTTATGATCTTGCAAAGATTACTTATATAGAATGGATTATATATGAATGAGTTACCTTTGTCCAAGCAGAAACCCAACAACCCAACCAAATTTGGGTGTGAAATCCTAAGAAGAACTGAAACTTCATCCAAGAACATCTTCTTGCTGCCACCTTTCTCCTCCATAACCCGCTTCACGGCACCAAATTGTCCATCACCAAGCTCTGCAAGATAAACAACGGATGTGGCTCCAACGCCTATTCGAATCCTAAAGTCCCTCGTAGCCGACTTCAACTCTTCAAGTGCATAAGTCCTTATAGCACCAGAGCAACATTTACTGCAATCAATTTTAGATGATCCTTTATATCTTTCGCTTTCATCATCTTCTTGATTATGTTTATGAGAGTACTCCAGATAGATGGCCAGGTGTTTTAGAATAAGGGTGAGAATGATCACCAGTATTATTGCGCCAATGATCCAATAGTTTCTTGGATTTGTGGTGGAGAATCCAAAGAACCACATGTTGTTGTTCTCTGTTCTCCTGTTCTTCACTCTCATATATGCCTTATAATCAGAGAGAGAGAGAGAGTTGAAGGGTGGAAGAATTAAGTTGGTGCATGTGTTGTAAATATCCTTTGGTTTGGAATTTAGCATTAGATAGCTGAAATTTGTCTTATTCATGGGAATAAAATGTACTCAAGGGTCACAATTCTGTTTTTGTCTTTGATTTTATCCACTCCAAACTATACACACATATGTAGAGAGAGATTAATCTTTTCTTTTTAAGACCCATAAAATGTTTAATCTATTTTGATAAAGATTCACGCGTACCATAGGTAGGGCTAAACACATGTTAGGATCTATTAAACATTTATTCTTCATGATGCACTTTTTTGGAAGTACCAAAACTATAAATTTCCATTTAGTTTTCAAACTGATTAAGGTATGGTTGTATGTTCCATTAATTAATAATTATAAAGCCAAGGTTGGGTAATTTCTACTTGGATATATATATATATATATATATATATATATCTTGGTAAAGAGTAAATTTGTATAGAATAGAAGAAGAAATACACAACACCAGGGCATACCCTGGGGACAAAAAGTCCAGCAAACAAGAACGGCTGTGGAAATTAAACTAGACAAAACCACTACACGAACACAAGGGAAACCAAAAGCAAACAATCAAACATACGATACAGGACTTTCTCAAAGCCATTACAACAACAGCAGAACCACAAATCAACAAGCAATTGACTAACAACAGCAACAAGCACTTGTGAATTAAACTGCACCTGGACCAAAACATTGGGAAGCCTTCTAGTTGAAGCAGAGTCCGCGAGCTTGAACCTGTTCGTATTCTTAACATTCCGAAGAAAAGCAATCCAGGGCCACTTAATTTGTTGATGAAAACCTGCAAGTTTTTGGAACTACAATATTTAAACCAAATACAGAGCAAGGAAATGAAAATAACAGGCACTTAAGTTTGAGTTTTGGCTCTTACCATTATGCATCAGGGCTTGTTCTGAGTGCCTTGAAGATTTTTGCTGACCAAATTCAGCTCACGCAAGACGTTGTTAATGTCCATCCGGTCTTGTGGTGACTCCATGGATCATGCAACTCCGATCTTGATCATTGACAACAGACACTCCATTTGGATGTCATTTTTTAATTCTTCAGGATCTCGATTTTTATTTGACATTGCTGCTACCTCTTCTTCATCATCAATGTTCAGTAGTATTGGGTCTACAATCTCCATAACACGGTCAGGCAAAGCCATCTTAGCAAAGTTATGAAGGTTAAGGCCTCCCTCAAACATACTGTCAGTAGGCCTTTTCCTTGTCATCATCTCCAATACCAAGATCCCGTAACTATATACATCCCCTTTTGTTGACGCTTTTCTTCCCAATCCATACTCTGTCATTCACATAATTTCGGACTTGGATGCAAATAACAGGCTCTGAGTTTGGTCATTCTCTCCATTAGTAGATTTCGGACTTGGATGCAACCAGCTCTCTAGACTCCCATTGATCATGAATTCATAGACTAGAGCCTTAAAATCATTTCCTTGAAAATCAAGGCTCGAGCAAGAAGTTATGACCTTTACCAAATTCCGATGTTTGATATTTCTCAAGGCTTCACACTCAGCCATGAAACTTTTGGAAGCTCCCCGACGTTGGAGGTTTAGTACTTTGACTGCAACAATGGTTTCATTTGGATCAAGGATTCCTTTGTAGACAGAGCCATAACTACCCACACCAATCAAATTTGCTGAAGAGAACATGTTGGTAGCATTAAGGAGCATTTGATAAGACACTTTCATTAATGATTCTCTTAACAACATTCCAGAAGGTTGAGCATTCCTTTTCTTTTTAACCCAACAAAAGAAGAAAGATAGCACCATTGTTACACCCACAAGTGTGCACGCTATAGAGATCACTAATATGAGCACAAGAGAACTTTTCTGCTTCTTGGCTTCTTTGATGTTGCATTTTGGTAATTGAAGTTTGGGTATGCCCCCACAGAGTCTATTGTTTCCAACAACTGATATTGCACTAGTATTTGCAAAAACTCCTTCAATGGGCACCTCACCCTCAAAGTCATTGAAGGATAAATTAAGATTATCTAAGGAAAATTGCTCCAAGAATCGTGGAATTTCTCCAGACAACTTGTTCCTCGAAAGATCAAAATTTAGAATACCTCTCAAAGAACTCAATGATTGAGGAATAGATCCGCTAAAGAAGTTTCCCTCTATATAGAGTTTTTCAAGGCTAGTGCAACTCGCAAGGCTATTGGGAATTTCACCAAACAACTCATTCTCAGATATATCCAATTCTGCCAAATTTTTGAGGTTGCCAACCTCTGAAGGGAGGGATCCGAACAAACGGTTTCGAGATAGATTTAGTGAAATAGAAAGAGCTGAAATTCTCAAAAGTTGCTTGGGTATCGTGCCACTAAGATTATTTTGGGAAAGATCAAGCAATAACATTTTTTGGCAATTTCCAAGACTCAAGGGTATGTTCCCCACTAATCTGTTCCCACCCAAGTAAAGCTCTATCAACGATGACAAGTTTCCTATAGATTCTGGAATTTCTCCATAGAATGTAGTTTCGTAAAGATATGCCCGCTTTAAATTTTGAAGATTTCCGATAGTAGCTGGAATTGTACCGGTGAATTGATTAATTGCTAGAACTAAATACTCTAAGTTGACAAGATTACCTATTGCAGAAGGGAGTTCTCCATATATGAAGTTATCACCAAGTACTAGATAAGAAAGTTGGTTTGAGAGATTACCCACAGAATTGGGTAATAACCCTCTGAATTGGTTATGATCCAGTTGTAATTTCTTCAAATTCCTACAGTTGGCCATAGAATCAATGAAGTTCATTTCATCCGGCTCTCCACTTCCTAAATTATTTGTAAATACAACAATTTCCTCTATATTTTGGATGCCTCCAAAATTAATTCCTAATTTCCCAGCGAAATTATTTTCTCCAATATCAAAACTTTCTAGTGATGTACAATTGGATATTGATAGTGGAACGGGTCCAGTAAATTTGTTCTGATATAATTGGAGGATTTGAAGATTTGGGAGCATCAGACCGAAGCTAGGCGGAAGAGCGCCATCAAGTTGGTTAATAGGCAAAGAGAGTCGAGTTAGAGAAGAAAGATTGTAAATGGAAGGATGGATTGTACCAGAGAGTTGATTGGCGCCAAATGCAAGTGCTTTTAAGTTTTTCAATTGACCCAAGGAATCAGGAAGATTGCCAGTGAAAAGATTGTAAGCTGCAAGCAGTGATTCTAGAGAAGTCAGTCTTCCAATGGATTGAGGGATCCCTCCGGTTAAGTAATTCAAGGGCATCATAAGATATGTGAGCTTTGACAAGGAACCAAGTTCTTCGGGAAGTTTCCCAACTAGCTTATTGTAACCTACAGCAAGATACCTGAGATTGGAGCAGTGGGATAGGTTGGTTGGAATTTCCCCTTCAAAGCTGTTTCCGGTGAGGTTCAATATCTGCAGCCTGAACAAGTGACCAACTTGAGGAGGGATTCCACCTTGAAGGGTGTTGTTGTTGAGGCTTAATACCCGAAGGAAGCTCAAGTTTCCGACATAAGGTGACAATGAGCCCGCTAAGCCTCTGGACCCTAGATCAATGCTGATGACTCTACTATGATGGCGACGACCACATGCAACACCTTCCCACATGCAGAAATGAAGGGACTCATTCCGTGAATTCATGACACCTTGAGGGTCATGAATAATCTTGGACTTGATGGCCAACAAGGCAAGATGATCAGTCTCATTTTTGGCAATGGTAATAGGGAGGGTACTCGTGATGATATGCAACACTGCGATGAAGAATAGGGATAGTGTTGGTATGGTGAAGGAGTTGAGAGGCATAACTGGACTCATTTCTGGAAGTGAATTTCAGAAAATGTAATATTAGAAAGATTTGTCTGAATCCATCAAGAAAGAGGCACTTTCCAAAGTCTTCTTCCCTCTGTGTTCCGGAAGTCCTCTGTATTAATTAGCAGGTGAGATTGAAAACAGAATATGGTTGTTATTGAATCTTACGAACTCCACCTTGTCCCTTTGTGAAGTTTCTTTGGCATTAATTGAAAACAGATAGGAGGAGGAAAGATTTGGGAAAGACTTCTTCTACTCTTCTTACAAATCTTTCTCATACATTGATAACATTAAAAGTCTTCCCTATATAATCTCTCTTTTCCCATGGTCTTCTGATTATCTGGAGATAAGAGAGAGATAGAGACTACCCATTAAAATTGGGCTAAATGTTTTGCAACGAGTTGATGAGACATTTATATATATATTGCTCACGTATAGTACTGGAAACTGATGAATCGCTGAAGTCAAAAAAAAGGGGCAGCGATATTAAATTATGGTTGTTGAAATTTAAATAAAACTTAAAAATCGTTTTCAACTAATATAATCAGGTAACACGTTGGAAATACGTCTACTGATTATTATTATTATTATTTTTTTCCTGATTTATTAATCACAGTAGAAGTCATGCCTGTATATCTCTTTTTCAAGTATTCTAATTATATAATAAGGTAAGGTGTTTTCGACTTATATACTAATAAAGTAAGGTGTTCTCTTTAATTTTCTTCCCAAATAAAAAAGAGCGTACACGCACTGTTTGTGATGGATTTAAAAATGAGGTGTACTTAATTGTAGCACCTATGAAGTCTCCTCTTTTTCTTTTTTCTTTACCTTAATTATATACAAATTTTGAGAGGAGGACATGATTGCTTGAAATAGAATAGTACGAGTATTATGTATTAAATGATTGTGTAAAAAATCTTTTATAGTAAATTACATGCTTTAATTAAAATTTTATATTATTATTATTAATTAAAATGTCACCTTTGACCGGCTAGAATTAGAGTATTATGATATGATATATTTTTTTTATGACAAAAACTATATGGCGCGTTCCTCATGATAAAATGTGATATAGCCTTTTTCTAAATAAAATGTGCAATAAACTCACTGAGCAATTTTTCATTAAAAAAATTACTACCAAATCTTTACTTTTAACAAAAAAAGAAAAGAAAAGGGAGTAGTCCTTTTAAGGCCGTGACGGACGGTGCAATGCCCAAAAATAAAGCATTGAAGGAACAAAATAGGATGTTTACCTAATCAATAAAGAAAGAAAAAACTTAAGGTTAGTATTTTTCTTCTTTTTTTGGGACTCATTTTTTTTCCTTAAATGGAGGAATTTTATTTTATTTTATTTTTTATTTTTTGGGACTCATTCAAAAACATAATATGTTTTTTAGGTGCACGAGTAAAAAATTATCATTCTTTTATTATTAGTTTTTTCAAATGAGTAAAAAATAATCTTTCGAAATTTTGAAGAGGCAGATTTACGTAATTGTAATTATTTTGAGAAATCATTCTAAAAATAATTATTGAAACGAAAAATCCCAATTGATGAGTCATGCTAGAGTTTGTGTAACCTGCCAATAGAGGTAATAAGATTCGATCCGATTATTTAAATATGAATTATATAAAAATTTAATAACAATTTGATAACCTTTCCTTGACATAGATAAAGAATGTGCAAACTACCTATCGTTAAAAACAATGTATACATCGTATTTGGAGTATCAATGCGGTGTCTTCGATTTAAGATTGGAAGATATTTATTAAGTTTTAAACCATTCTTAAATTTAAATTTCAATGATAGCAATACATTTTTACAACCTAATTGTAGACGTCTAGATAGTTCAATAAGTTATTGCCTTACGTGAATTTTGGATGGTAGGCTTTTTGACTCGTGTCTACTGATTTAACTTGTAAAGCTTATTTCGTTAATATATATATATATATATATATATACCTAAAATGCCTTTCTAGGCAAAATAAAATGATCTATTGTCTCTGATGTAATTTATAAGCTCTGGAACTTAAATGCCGAAGCGGCGGCGACTATGGGACAAAGTGACAGAGTGGGTTTGTTGAGCGCGGATGATCAAACTTGGTCTCCTCCGCAAAACGATTTCCTGGAGTTGGCGTTGCAGTCCAGTATGTACAAAGGTTCTAGAGTTTTGCCGAAGGTCCATGTGAATGGGACGAAGAATTGCAATGACGATCCATCGCAAGGACGAGCAGCAAAGATAGCGAGGTAGAGCACGGAGATGATGATGATGATGATGGAGATGAAGAGGGAACGGAAGAGGAAGGAGAGAATCAAGTAGTTCCTTGGTCTTCCACTCCACCGTCTAAAAATACATCAGTGTCAAAGGCATGTAATTCTGACTTTGATCACCCCTGCTTTTAAGCTTCTCAATGCCTTTTGGTAGAATGCAATACAAGTCAAAGGTAATGATTGAAATATGTTCTGTTAAGTAAAAATGTAAAAATCAGAGAAGCATAATCTAACAGATACCATCAATTAAGCCATGAGCAGAGCATATGACTCCAAATTTCACAACCAAAATACACTGAACTCTTGGAGCTCTAATTTACCATTCACCACCATCAATGTTCAAACATATGCTAGCAAAAACCAGAAACAAAAAGAACATACTTAACCAAAAGTAAGATAAATCCAATTCACCCAAAAAAAACAGAGGGAAAACTATATACTACTCTTTAATTTTTGTGGTACCTGGTATCAATTTCATGGTTCCTTACTCTATTTTATGTCAATTTTTCGTGCTTGTACAGGGTTTTCTAAGCTAAAGATGTGGGAGGGCGAACAATTGTTGTGTTGTAAAAATTTTCAGGTTTGTTAGTCCTGCCACCTGCTTGTAAAAATGCCAAACTAGATACATTACACATTAATATCAAGTTTTCCGAACTCTCTCTCTCCTCTTATTTTTGTGAACACATATTTAAATGATTGGTCTTTTTTATTAATAATCAAATATCGAAAAGGCTCTTGTTTGGGACGTACTCCAACAGTATAAATTGTTCTTCCGCTTCAATACATGTAGGACACTGCCCTGAGTTATATATAGCTAGCTAGGATCATAGTGTGTGATTAATTTGTTAATTCTTCACATTTGTGAGCGTATAGTTTTGAATTGTGAAGTCCCAAGCTAGACATCCAAGTCCATCTGATTGGGCTTGTGTAATCAATCGATTAGTAGGACAACCCCAAGTCTAAAATATTGTGAGAAAAGACATGTCCAATGGCTGAAAAGCCTATGGTTTAAGTCTTATTCATTATGATTAATGCTTCAATTAAACTCTTATAATCTAAGCCTTACTATGGCCTAGTAGGCACGTATATGCTGATTGGACTCTCAACAAACACAAGAACACAAACACACAAATTATATGTTCAAAGATAATGTGGTACCCAAGACCAAGTACTACAAAAACAAGTTCAAATATTTAAATATTGGTTTGCAGTGAGGCATACGTTTGGTTGTGAATCCATGTGGATTCATGCATATATAGCATGTAAATAACAAAATCCTTCCATAGTACAATGGTGTACCTAAGTTAGGGAGAAAATAAAATGGATTAAAGAATTAATAAATTCAAACATATTGTATAATATTATACACATGCTTTACGCTATATACACATGCATCTATGATCTTGCAAGGATTACCTATATAGAATGGATTATATATGGATGACAGGATGAGTTACCTCAATCCAAGCCGAAACCCAACAACCCTACCAAATTTGGGTGTGAAATCCTAAGGAGAGCCGAAACTTCATCCAAGAACATCTTCTTGCTGCCACCTCTCTCCTCTTTGATCTGCTTCACCGCACCAAATTGTCCATCACCAGGGTCTGCAAGATAAATGAAGGATGTGTTTCCAACGCCTATTTGAATCCTAAAGTTACTGGTAGCTATCTTTAGCTCTTAAGTGCATAAATCCTTATATCACCAGAGCAACAATGACTGCAATCAATTTTGCATGATTCTTTATATTTTTCAGCTTGATCAGCTTCTTGCTTAGAATTATTATCTTCTTGAAAGTACTTTAGATAGATGGCCAACTCTGTTTAAGGATAATGGCGAGAATGATCACCAGTATTATTGCACAATCTCTCTGACATCACTTGACAGAGAAAAGGCGATTGCGGTCAGAGTTGCTGAGGATTTATGAATGAAAAAAACCCTAGCACTTCTTTCCTTCCAGATGTGATTCACAAAATCATTCCAAACAAGAATTTTACTTTACTTTTTCTTTTGTATAGGATGAGGCCCAAATGAGGAACTCACGCCAATTTCTAGGGTTCGTATGGAACCCACACTTATATTGAAGTGCTGACCAAATTGCGCATTTATGAAATAAATGATGCTGAGACTCGGCATCTTTAAGACTTTAACACTTAACACACGTACATTTAGATGTGTCCCCTTTTTTTTTTCTTTCTTTGTTTTTTCACTATATCTCTTACGTGAGCAAGTCTTTCGAGGTAGAGAGACTCGATCATCCTCATCTAGGGCCAAATAAACTAATTAATATGCTTAATTATCAGTGGGGAATACATATAATCCACTTCTTTATTTTCATCACCATGCACAACTTGTCTTGTCTATCCCCCACTACTTGCCTCTACACCGTGCACATTTTCTACATTATCTATATATCTAATTTTGGAGGTTTAATTAGGTATTCCTCAATCAAAGTAAATTTGTTAAACTTAATTAATTATTGATATTTCCTTTGCTTTCTAAGGGGAATGTTGAGGGTTCAAGTATTCCAAATGCACTAAAAAATAAAATAAAATAAAATAATAATAAGTGTCAAAGCAGATCTTTGGTGGAATACAAACAATTCTACCACAACTAATCAGTAATCACTGTCTAAATATGTATAGGCTTCATCACCATCCAAGAGAGGCATTCTATAGCAAGCTTCAACCCAAATCCAAGCTCATCGGCTATTGGCATTCTGTTCTACTTTGTCAATACTAAAAACATCAAGCACAAGCTTTTCTCATAAACTACCAGGAAGAAAAAAAAAAAAAAAAAACAGTCCATCCCCAAATTTGGTGTGAAATTCTAAGGAGAACCGAAATTTCATCCAAGAACATCTTCTTGTTGCCGCCTCTCTCCTCTATAACCTGCTTCACTGCACCAAATTGTCCATCACCAAGCTCTTCAAGATACACAAAGGATGTGGCTCCAACGCCTATTTGAATCCTAAAGTCCCTTGTAGCCGTCTTCAGCTCCTCAAGTGCACAAGTCCTTATAGCACCAGAGCAACAATGACAGCAATCAATTTTGCATGATTCTTTATATTTTTCACCTTGATCATCTTCTTGCTTAGAATAATTGTCTTTTTGAGAGTACTCTAGATAGATGGCCAACTGTCTAAGATAATGGTGAGAATGATCACCAGAATTATTGCACCAATGATCCAATAGTTTCTTGGATTTGAGGTGGAGAATCCAAGGAACCATATGGTGGTGGTCTTTGTTCTCCTGTTCTTGACTCTCATATATGCCTTATACTGTTGGAGAGAGAGAGAGAGAGTTGAAGGGTGGAAGGTTTAGAATGATAGAGGAGAGAATTAAGTTAATTGGTCCATTTGTTCTAAAGATCCTTTGGATTCGAATTTAGCATTAGATAGCTGAAATTTGTCTTATGCATGGGAATAAAATGTACACTAGGGTTCTGTTTTTATCTTTGATTTTATCCACTCCAAAGTACACATACACATATACATACAGAGATTAATCATTTTTTTTTTTTTTTTTTCATAAAATGTTTAATCTATCTAGATAAAGAATCACCTGAACCATAGGCAGGGACCGGGTGAAACACATGGTAGGAACCATTTAACATTCTTGGTCATGCACTTTTTTGTTGTATATTCCATTAACCTATAGTTATAAAGCCAAGGTTGGGTAATTTCCACTTTGATATATATATATATATGTATGTATGTATATATTGGGTAAAGTGAAAATTTGTATAGAATAGAAGAAGGAATACACAGCACCAGGGCATACCCTGGGGATAAAAGTCCAGCAAACAAGAATGGCTCTGGAAAACTAGACAAAACCACTATATGAACACGGGAAACCAAGCTAGAGCAGCCAAAGCAGAAGCAAACAATCATAATACAATACACGACTTTCTCAAAGCCATTACAACGACAGCAGAACTAAAAACCAACAAAGAATCAACTAAGTGCAACAACTTAAGAATTAAATAGCAGCTGGACCAAAAGACAAGCTTAACTAGCTAGTCATTGCTGGCATGGAAGCATGAACTAGGAAGATGAATCTGATGTTATTCTCAACATTCCTAAGAACAATAGAAGGGCTAGAGTTTCAGTTTCTAAAAAAATGTAGGATTTCTTTCAGCCCAAATTGAATAGACTCAGCAAGCCAGGGCCACTTTGTTGATGAAAACCTGCAAGCTTTTGGAGAAATTCCAATGATCAGAGACCAGCCAAAGCAACAAGGAGGGCCAGTCAGGGAATCAATGTGGAAGCAACAAATTAATTGTATTTGGTTCCAAATGAAGGCAGAGAATAAACATTTCAAGAATAGATGGGAAAATGATTCTCCATCCGATAAGCAAAGAGAGCATTTAAGTTTGAGTTTTTTTGTCTTACCATTATGCATCAAGACCCGTTTCAGCCCCTTGAAGATTTTTCCCGACCAAATTCAGCTCACGAAAGACGTCAGTTATGTCCATCCGATCTTGTGGTGACTCCATGGAGCATGCAACTCCAACCCTGATCATTGAGATCAAACACTCCATTCTGATGCCATTTCTTAATTTTTCTGGAAATTGATTTCTATTCGACACTGCCGCTGCGTTATCATCATCATCAATGTTCAGAAGTCTTGGGTCTACAATCTCCATAACACGGTCAGGCAAAGCCATCCTAGCAAAATTATGAAGGTTAAGGCCCCCCTCAAACATACTGTCAGTTGGCCTTTTCCTTGTCGTCATCTCCAATACCAAGATCCCATAACTGTATAAATCCCCTTTTGTCGAAACTTTGCTTCCCAGACCATACTCTGTCATTCACAAAATTAAAGAAAAGAAAATATATATTTTTGACAAAGATAGGAAGCACATTTGAAAATTATAAGCTATTCAATATTTAGGCTTATGGACTAAAAGCAACTTAAATTCTAATTAAAACTGGTTATATATATATATATTCCCATACACCATTCAATGTGGCACCCTTGGTGTGAGCAAAATGTGATTTGGAACCTATTAACGAATGCACAAAAATTTATTCCCGTCCATTTATGCCTCCATTCCAATGAAACACTCTCTGTCTTTCACACGCACACAAACACGAGGACTAACCTATATCAAAATATAATCCTGAGATGTTAGTTTGGTATCAAACCTAAACCCTAAGATTTTAGACCTATAGGAAGAAAATGAAAATAAAAAGAAACAATAATTTATTGTGCATGCTTACCTGGAGCTGCATAACCAACGGTTCCCCTCACTGCAATTGAACTGCTTTGATTTGGATTTGTGAGTTGTTGAAGAAACTTTGCGAGCCCAAAATCTCCTACATGAGCAATCATGTCACTATCAAGTAGGACATTGCTTGGCTTTAGATCACAATGAATTATTGGTGTTTGACAATGATGTTGAAGATACTGGAATGCACACAACACATCAATTGCAACATTTATTCTTTGAAGAAGATTTAGGCTCTGAATTTGATTATTCTCTCCGTTATTAGTTGTTGGACTTGAATGCAACCAACTCTCTAGACTGCCATTGGGCATGAACTCATAAACTAGAGCCTTAAAATCATTTCCTTGAAAATCAACACTTGAGCAAGAAGTTATGATCTTTACCAAATTTCGATGTCTGATATTTCTCAAGGCTTCACATTCGGCTGTGAAACTTTTGGAAGCTCCCCGGTGTTGGAGGTTTAGTACTTTGACAGCAACAATGGTTTCATTTGGATCAAGGATTCCTTTGTAGACAGAGCCATAACTACCCACACCAATCAAATTTGTTGAAGAGAACCTGTCAGTTGCTTTGAGGAGCATTTCATAAGACACTTTCAAGAATGAATCCCTCAACACTATTCCAGAAGGTTGAGCATTTCTTTTCTTTTTAACCCAACAAAACCAGAAAGATAGGACCATTATAAAACCCAAAATTGTGCACGGTATGGAGATTACTAATATGAGCACAAGAGAACTGTTTTGTTCCTTTGATTCTTTGATGTTGCATTTTGGTAGTTGAAGTTTGGGTATGCCCCCACAGAGTCTTTTGTTTCCAACAACTGATATTGCACTAGCATTTGCAAAAACTCCTTTAATGGGCACCTCACCCTCAAAATCATTGAAGGATAAATTAAGATTCTCCAAGGAAAAATGCTCCAAGAATCTTGGAATCTCTCCGGACAACTTGTTTCTAGAGATATCAAAGTTCAGAATACCTCTCAACGAACTCAATGATTGAGGAATAGATCCATTAAAGAAGTTTCCCTCCAAATAGAGGATTTCGAGACTAGTGCAACTCTCGAGGCTGTTAGGAATTTCACCAGACAACTCATTATGAGATATATCCAATTCCCCCAAATTTTTTAGGTTGCCAATCTCTGAAGGGAGGGATCCGATCAAATGGTTTCGAGATAGATTTAGTGAAATAGAAAGAGCTGATATTCTCAAAAGTTGTTTGGGTATGGTGCCACTAAGATTATTTTGAGAGAGATCAAGCAATAGCAATTTTTTGCAATTTTCAATACTCAATGGTATGTTCTCAACTAATCTATTCTCATCCAAGTAAAGCTCTAACAATAATGACAAGTTTCCTATAGATTTTGGAATTTCCCCATGGAATGTATTCCTGTAAAGATATGCCCGTTCTAATTTTCGAAGATTTCCGATAGAAGCTGGAATTGTCCCCGTGAATTGATTAATTGATAGAGCTAGAAAATTTAAGTTGACAAGATTACCTATTGCTGAAGGGAGTTTTCCATGAATGAAATTCCTATCTAGTGATAGTTTAAAAAGTTGGTTTGAGAGATTGCCCACAGAATTGGGTAAGAGGCCTCTGAATTGGTTATCAGACAGTATTAAATAGTTCAAATTGCTACAATTGGCTATAAAATCAATGAATTTCATTTCATCTGGCTCTCTACTTCCTAAATTATTTTTATATAGAAAAATTCTTTTGAGATTTTGGAGGCCCCCAAAGTTAATACCTAATTTCCCATTGAAATTATTTTTACCAATATAAAGTCTTTCTAATGGTGTACAATAGGATATTGAGAGTGGAATAGGTCCAGTGAATTTGTTCACCGATAATTGGAGGAGTTCAAGATTAGGGAGCATCAGACCCAAACTGGGTGGAAGAGTGCCTTCAAGTTGGTTACCACCCAAAGAGAGTTGAGTTAGAAAAGAAAGATTGTAAATGGATGGATGGATCGTACCAGATAGTTCATTATCACCAAGAAGGAGTCTCTTTAGGTTTTTCAATTGACCCAAGGCATCAGGAAGACTGCCCGTGAAAAGATTTTCAGCTGCAGACAGTGTTTCTAGAGAAGTCAGTCTTCCAATGGATTGAGGGATCCCTCCAGCTAAGTAATTCCAGTGAATGATGAGATTTGTGAGCTTTGACAAGGAACCAAGTTCTTTCGGAAGTTCCCAACTAGCTTATTACGACTTACAACAAGAAGCCTGAGATTGGAGCAGTGGGATAAGTTGGCTGGAATTTCTCCTTCAAAGCTGTTATTTTGCAGCCTCAATACCTGCAGCCTGAACAAGTTACCAACTTGAGGAGGGATTTTATCATCAAGGGTGTTGTTGGAGAGCTCTAACACCCGAAGGAAGCTCAAGTTTCCAACATGAGGTGACAATGAACCCACTAAGCCTTTGGACCCTAGATCAATGGCGATGACTCTACGATGGCGATGACCACATGCAACACCTTCCCAGTTGCAGAAATGAAGGGAGTCATTCCATGAGCTCATGGCACCCCGAGGGTCATGAATTATCTTTGACTTGATGGCCAACAATGCAAGATGATCTGTCTCATTTTTGCCAATGGTTACAATACTGGCAATGGCATTAGGGAGGGTACTCATGATGATGATATACAGCAATGCGATAAACAATGGGAATAGTGTTAGGGATAGTGTTTGTATTCTGTAGGAGTTGCGAGGCATAACTGGACTCATTTCTGAAGGTGCAAAATATTTCAAAAATGTGAGACTAGTTAGTTTGAAAGACTTGTATGAATCTATCAAGAAACATCACTCGTATTAATATAGATTAGTAATTCAGAAAAGTGACACTTTTCAAAGTCTTCCCTCTCTCTTCAGAAGTCAGAACTATCAACTAGCAGACAGACTGTGCCGTTAAACTTGAATAGGCTTTTTCTGAAGTCTTTCAATCATATTCTCAAGTCTACCCTGTCTATTTTTACACACACACACATATATATATATAATTCACATAAAGAGCATATGCGATTTGAATGGCCATGGCGTTGTGTACATGTGATTGAAAAGGCTCTTGTTGAGAAATACTCCAACAGTAGAAGTTCTTCACTTTTCGTTTTCATCCCAATGCAACTTTCAATAAACGAAAGCTAACAAGAATACAAGAAGAGGAAGGCAACAGCCCACAGCAAGAAAATCAAGAACCGCCACTGGACTTGTCCTGAAGCTGAATGCCCAAAGAATCAGCACCCTCCACCACCACTAATCTAGCAGTTTAAGAGAGAGAGAGGCCAAGGATTTTTATCATGAAGAGCCTGTTTTTATTTTTATTTATTTATTTATTTCAAGATCCGTAAAATGTTTTAATCTATATTGATATAGATTCACCTGTACCATAGGGGTTAAACACATGGTAGGTTCCATTAAAAATTAATTCTTCATGATGCACTTCTTTGGAAGTACCAAAACTATTAATTTTTAAGTGGTTTTCAAACTGATCAAGGTCTGGTTGCATGTTCCATTAACCTATCAAACCAAGGTTTGGTAGTCCCACTTTCATACATATATACATTGTAAAGTTTTTGACTTATCTATATATAATTAGTATAATGACTTTTTCAATTGTGGGGCCCACCTGTGATATAAGGGTCATTACAGACCCATTTAATTCCAATTTGCTTTCTCTCTCGGACAGCTTAAGTCTCTCTCTCTCTCGCTACTTCTGTCTTTTTCTTTTCTTTTTTCTTTTTCAACTTCAATCCTTGATTTCTCTCTCAATTCTTGGCGGATTTAGGTGCCGTTTGAGGCAAAACGACTAGCACGACGAGCTTTACGTGCTAGTACCAGAAATTTCAGCTTTTAGTCCTCTTTGGGAGCTCGAATTTAAGAACCCATTTATAGGGATTTTGCTCATTTTGAGGTAGGGACACCTTAATCCACTACCTTCTTGTTTCATTGTGAGTTATAATCATTTGTTGTGCCAAGCATGCTTAATTAGAAGTTAATTGTATCAATGATTATTTTAAATGTTGTCTAGAGAAATTCATGTGTATGAATGTGAGTTGTTTTATGTGTAAAGCATGCTTAAATGTATTTTGTTGTATCTTAATGTGTTAATAATTACTTAGGAGATGTTGAACATGTTGAATGTTTAATTTTATGATGTAGAATTTTAAATGCCATGACATTGAATGTATGGAACATATATACATGCACATACCATTGGGTTTGCATGAAATGGGAGAAATTGTTCTTGAAATAAATATGGGGAATTTCAGGGAAGTGTTTTTGATGAAATGGTTTTATGCGAAACCCGGTCGCTGCGGGGTTACCAACGGGCCGGAGGTTAATATAGCCTAGAAGGTTGGGACTAGGGAGTCGCCTTAGCGTGGTTGAGCTAGCTGGGCCCCATAATGACGCCACGGGGTTACCAAGGGTCAGGGACACTAGCCAATCCTCCTCTCGTGTCGCGGCGGGGCTACCAAAGGGCGGGCTGTATTAACAGTTTGGAAATGATGTTTTGGATTATGAAAATGGGGAGCGACACTAACTTGCATTGCATCTCATATCATTGCATTGGATATACTTGAGATTGAATCGTTATGCTGTATTATTTCCCGACATTGTATGATCCCCATTTCCCATTGGCCTATGCTTCGTTTGGATTCACAAGGACACAAGATGTGTGTCTTAAGCATCACCTGCTGAGCTTTATGCTCACCCTACTATTTATATTATTTTTTTTTCAAGTTTTGGAAATGAAGTCCACATCAAGCTTGAAAGTTGTTAGAAGGTTGTTTGCTTTTTTTTATTTTGACCGTTCTATGTATATTCGTAGTTGTGGAAATGTAACTAAGTTAGTATTCATGGCTTTGTAACTTAAGAACGAACTTATCTTTTGTTTGATGTAAATGAAACTAATGAAATCATGGTATATATTTCCATGTAATTGTATCATGTAACGTTGTAAGACATGGACTTTAGATCTTAACCATGTATTTTGGGACTGTAATTATGATAATTTGGATTAATTGGTGTGTGGATGTTCCACCATGAGAGGAACTATGCTGAGGTACAATGAACGGATGAATGAGATGCTGGATGATTTTATGTGTTTTGTGTATTGGGACAGGTTGTTGAAGGCCCATTTTTAGGGGAGGTTATGCCGAATTTTTTTAAATTTTGGCATCAGCTAGGGTCGTTACATACATACATATATATATATACATACATATATATATATATATATATTTCGCTGTAGTGTAAATTTCTATGGAATAGAAAAAGGAATACACAGTTCCATTAAAAATTAATTCTTCATGATGCACTTCTTTGGAAGTACCAAAACTATTAATTTTTAAGTGGTTTTCAAACTGATCAAGGTCTGGTTGCATGTTCCATTAACCTATCAAACCAAGGTTTGGTAGTTCCACTTTCATACATATATACATATATATATATATATATATATATATATATATATATATATATATATATATATATTTCGCTGTAGTGTAAATTTCTATGGAATAGAAAAAGGAATACACAGTGCCAGGGCATACCTTGGGGACAAAAGTCCAGCAGACAAGAATGGCTTTGGATTCATTTTGAAAACGTGGATCGGAAACGCCCCGGTTGGCGCATAGGAAAGGACATGAATGGAAAGTAAATGAGATGGATGAATCTTCATCCCAAAAGTTGGTTTTGAGGTTTTCAATATGTACCCAAACAACCCCCAAAAATCTTTCTAGTGCTGAACACAAAAATTCAACCTTCAATCAAGGTCTCCCAAACCTGAACACAAAAATTCAGCATGGACCCGGTTCTCCAAAGCGGAACCGGTTCTGATAGGGCAGAAAGTTCATAAAAGACCTGAAATGACCCGTTTTCAACTTCAACCTTCAATCAAGGTCTCCCAACCTTGAACCAAACCTAATTAACGATAGAATGGGTACACACAAAAGTGAGCATGATGAGGGCCAAAATGAACATGAGAATGGCCATGTACATCTCATTTCACCACAAAACAAAGGCAGACAAGGCCGCGTCCGTTCCTATCATGCTAGTAAGTGCGAATGATATATGAAACCCACAAGACACACTGAATTATACATGAAATAACCATAGAGCGTATCCATATATACACATCACAAAGAAGTTATGGCCGGTTTGGCCTCATTACATCAATATATATAAATTCTTATAAGCCATACATGGATGACTAGAGTAGAAATCCCATGAGAATTCCAAAAGATGGAGGTGAGTTCTCACGCCATTTCCCTCTCCCAAAATACATACAACGTCATATAAGTATGCCAATTACACATGATATTAAAGTTATTAGCAATTACAAAGCAATTACACATGATATTAAGGTCATCCAAAAACTTCATCAAACAGCCCAAGCTAGGGATGAGTGTCCTCCAAAGCGATTGTGACTTCCTATCCTGAAAAATAAAAGGGTGAGCACGAATGCCCAGTAAGAAAATGTTATACAACTAAACTAAATTTCTCTGAATCCTACAAACATGGAATGTATGCTAGGCAACTTACATCTAATTCACGGAACATGATACTCAATACCCTAAAGCTAGGCCTCAACATAATATCTCATCTCAATGAAAAAGTTAAAACATCACATTAGGTACGAATATATGTAGAACAATGGATCTGTGGTGACTTTGTGAGCTGGTGGCACACGTAGATATCATATTGGGCGAGTTACAGGTGCACAATCCCACACACAATCAATAAATACCCTACATACCCTAAATAAATTAATACTGCTTACTCGTCCAAGGCCCACATGGCCAACTTCGTGAGCCCACTTACTCGACGTAAAAGAAAAGTCTCGAAAGCATTTATAAGAGTTTGTAACTTTAGGAAAGGTGATAGATTCCGAACAATCCCGAAACACATATCTCCACGTGTTAGAACAAATAAATTCAGAGAGAAAGAAAACCGATCTTCACATATTTTTTGGAATACGATTTTTAAACCAAATACAGAACAAAGACGAGAAAATAACAGGCATTTAAGTTTGAATTTTGGGTCTTACCATTATGCATCCGAACTTATTCAACGGCCTTGAAGATTTTTCCTGACCAGATTCAGTTCATGCAAGACATCAGTTATGCCTATCCTGTCTTGTGGTGACTCCATGGAGCATGCAACTCCGACCTTGATCATTGACAACAAACACTCCATTCTGATGCCATTTCTTGATTCTCCAGGAACACGATTTCTATTCGGCACTGTTGCTGCCTCTTTTTCATCAACATTCAGAAGTACTGGGTCTACAATCTCCATAACACGGTCGGGCAAAGCCATCATAGCAAAGTTATGAAGGTTAAGGTCTCCATCAAACATGCTGTCTGTTGGCCTTTTCCTTGTCATCATCTCCAATACTAAGATCCCGTAGCTGTATAAATCCCCTTTAGTCGACACTTGGCTTCCTAGACCATACTCTGCCATTCACAAAATTAATGAAAAGAAAAGAAAATGTTGACAAAGATAGCAAGCACGTTTGAAAAAGATTAGCTATTCAATATTTAGGTTTATGAGCTAAAAACAACTTAAATTCTGATTTAAACAGGTTATATCTATTCACATACATCATTCAATATGGCACTCTTGGTGTGAGCTCAAAAATGGATTTCTAACCAATCATCAACAAATCCGAAAAAATTTATTCCCCTCCATATAATATTCCAATGGAATTCTCTCTCTCTCTCTCACTCACGCACACGCACACACCACCACAAGGACTGACCTGTATCAAATTTTAATCCTAATAAGCTATAGTTAGGTATCAAATCTAATTTCTAAGTTATGGTATATTCAATGATGCAATTGGAAAACTAGAAGAAGAAAAAGAAAATAAAAAGAAACAATAATGTATTGTGCATGCTTACCTGGAGCTGCATAACCAACTGTTCCCCTTACTGCAACTGAACTGCTTTGTTTTGGAGTTGTGAGTTGTTGAAGAAACCTTGCTACCCCAAAATCTCCTACATGAGCGACCATGTCACTATCAAGTAGGACATTGCTTGGCTTTAGGTCACAATGAATTATTGGCGTTTGACAATGATGGTGAAGATACTCGAGTGCTGACAACACATCAACTGCAACATTAATTCTTTGAAGAAGGTTTAGGCTCTGAATTTGATCACTCTCTCCGTTACTAGATGTTGGACTTGGATGCAACCAACTCTCTAGACTTCCATTGGGCATAAACTCATAGACTAGAGCCTTAAAATCATTTCCTTGAAAATCAATGCTTGAGCAAGAAGTTATGATCTTTACCAAATTTCGATGTCTGATGTTTCTTAAGGCTTCACACTCGGCCATGAAACTTTTGGAAGCTCCCCGACGGAGGAGGTTTAGTACTTTAATTGCAACAATGGTTTCACTTGGATCAAGGATTCCTTTGTAAACAGAGCCATAACTACCCACACCAATCAAATTTTCTGAGGAGAACCTGTCAGTTGCTTTGAGGAGCATTTCATAAGACACTTTCAAGAATGAATCCCTCAACACTATTCCAGAAGGTTGAGCATTTCTTTTCTTTTTAACCCAACAAAACCAGAAAGATAGGACCATTATAAAACCCAAAATCGTGCACGGTATCGAGATTACTAATACGAGCACAAGAGAACTTTTATGTTTTCTTGGTTTTTTGATGTTGCAATTTGGTAGTCGAAGTTTGGGTATGCCTCCACAGAGCCTATTGTTTCCTACAACTGATATTGCACTAGCATTTGCAAAAACACCATCAATAGGCACCTCACCCTCAAAATTGTTGAAGGATAAATTAAGATTCTCCATGGAAAAATTCTCCAAGAACCTTGGAATCTGTCCAGACAATTTGTTCCGAGAGAGATCCAAGTTTAGAATACCTCTCAAGGAACTCAATGATTGAGGAATAGATCCGTTGAAGGAGTTTCCCTCCATATAGAGGTTTTCGAGGCTAGTGCAACTCTCAAGACTATTAGGAATTTCACCAGACAACTCATTCTTAGATATATCCAAGTCCTCCAAATTTTTTAGGCTGTCAACCTCTGAAGGGAGCGATCCAAACAAACGGTTTCGAGATAAATTTAGTGACATAGAAAGAGCTGAAATTTTCAAAATTTGTTTGGGTATGGTGCCACTAAGATTATTTTGGGAAAGATCTAGCAATAACAGTTTTTTGCAATTTCCAAGACTCAAGGGTATGTTGCCCACTAATCTATTTTCACCCAAGTAAAGCTCTGTCAACAATGACAAATTTCCTATAGATTCCGGAATTTCCCCATGGAATGTATTTCTGTCAATAAATGCCCGTTGTAACTTTTTAAGTTTTCCTATAGTAGCTGGAATTGTGCCCGTGAATTGATTACCATATAGAGATAAAAGATTTAGGTTGACAAGATTACCTATTGCTGAAGGGAGTTCTCCATATATGAAATTTTGTCCAAGTGTTAGATAAAAAAGTTGATTTGAGAGATTACCAATGGAATTGGGTAATAGCGTTCTGAATTGGTTAGCGACCAGATCTAATATCTGCAAATTGCTACAGTTGGCCAAAGAGTCGATGAAGTTCATTTCATCTGGCTCTCCACTCCCTAAATTATTACTAACTAAAGAAATCTCGTTTAGATTTTGTAGGCCTCCAAAATTAACCCCTAATTTCCCACTGAAATTATTGAATCCAATTTCAAATCTTTCTAGTGCTGTACAATTGGATATTGAGAGTGGAATGGGTCCGGTAAAATTGTTTTGCCATAATTCAAGGACTTGAAGATTAGGGAGCATCATACCCAAGCTCGGCGGAAGAGTGCCATGAAGATGGTTATTAGGCAAAGAGAGTAGAGTTAGAAAAGAAAGATTGTAAATGGAAGGAGGGATTATACCAGAGAGTTCATTGCTGCCAAAAGCCAGTCTTTTTAGGTTTTTCAATTGACCCAAGGCATTAGGAAGTCTGCCCGTGAAAGAATTTGTAGCTGCAGACACATGTTCTAGAGAAGTCAATCTCCCAATGAATTGAGGGAACCCCCCAGTGAAGTGGTTCCAGTGCATGCTGAGAAATGTGAGCTTTGACAAGGAACCAAGTTCTTCTGGAAGTTTCCCAATTAGCTCATTGTAACCTAAACCAAGATACTTGAGATTGGAGCAGTGGGATAGGTTGGTTGGAATTTCCCCTTCAAAGCTGTTTCTGGTGAGATTCAATATCTGCAGCCTGAACAAGTGACCAACTTGAGCAGGGATTTCACCTTGAAGGGTGTTGTTGTTGAGGCGTAATACCCGAAGGAAGCTCAAGTTTCCGACATAAGGTGACAATGAGCCCGCTAAGCCTCTGGACCCTAGATCAATGCTGATGACTCTACTACGATGGCGACGACCACATGCAACACCTTCCCACATGCAGAAATGAAGGGACTCATTCCATGAGCTCACGACACCTTGAGGGTCATGAATAATCTTTGACTTGAAGGCCAACAATGTAAGATGATCTGTCTCATTTTTGCCAATAGTTATCGTACTGGCAGTGACATTAGGTAGTGTACTCACGATGACATGCAGCAATATTGTGATGAACACTAGGGATAGTTTTTGTATTTTGGAGGACTTCAGAGGCATAATTGAACTCATTTTTGAAACTGCAAGATTTCAGAAATGTGAGGCTAGTTAGAAAGACTAGCTTGAATATATCCAGAAAGATCACTATATATGTATATTATATATCTGTCAAAGAGGCACTTTCCAAAGTCTTCCTTTCTCTTTCAGAAGTTTACTTTATTAGCAGAGAGACTGTGTCGTTAAACTTGGGTCCACAACTTTTCTAAGAGAAACGGGTGAGATTTATCATTTTTTGAGGACTTGTATGAATCTGTCGAGAAAGATGACTTCTATTGATATATATATATATATATATATATATATATATGTCAGGAAAAGTACGTGATTGTTTGAAAGAGAATAATATGAAATTTATGCGGTCGAAATTTTGTATTATTATTATTATTATTATTATTATTTAATAGTAAATCACTAGTTTTAGTCAAACTTATAAATTCTCTATCTTTTAAGTAAACTGAATTGTCCCTCAACTAGCTAGCTAATATAATTTTATTTAAATTATTTACATATGATTTCTTAATTTTTTTATTTAATTTATAAGAGGACCGTTTAAATGCCGTTGCACTGTCGCAACCAACTTTTCCTCCACAAAGTGGACTTGACTTGTACATAATTTTCTTGTCAAATACGAAGTATATATTAATGGCTCCATTCAAGAAAGTAATTGAATTCAGTCGAATGAATGCTTTACTACTCTGACTTGACTTGTAAGTAAATTCACATGAAAGCCTTTATCGAGCCTATTCCTTTTTCCAGTCTCTCACGGTTTAACTTAAATGCAACATATTTATTAGCCAATTGGGAAAGTAAACATGATGAATAAACAATAAAGAACACTACATTCAACTAAAAAAAATAATAATAATAAAGAACACTTCATAGTGTTGAAATTTTATTCTCTCAAAATAAATAAGTAAACAAACAAATAATATGGTTTCGATTCCTAAAAGAAGGTCATGGGTTCTAGTTTCTTTGGAGGCAGGGTGTGTGAGTGAATTACTTTAATTAAAAATAAAAAATAAAAAAAAACTTCAATTCTGCTAAGTGGAGAACCAAGGCTTCAAATTTTCTGACTATGAAATAAAATCCCTAAAGTAAAAATTGAAACAAGACATAACCTAACCCTAACTTCAGTTTGTCAAATACCATACAACTTATTGTAGTAATCCACTTAGTCCCAACCTTTTTCTAAAACCTTTGAGTATTCATGCGACTTCACTCCTTTCCAAAGTCTTCCGTATCTCTTTTTCGAAAGTTTTCTCTGGCGTGTTAGGCATTTTTCTAAGAATTGCAAGCATGCGCAATGATGGATTTAGAGACTTGTACCACATTTTTCATAGTAAAGTCCCTATGCATTGTTTGTGATGGATTTGAAGACTTGGATAATTCAAAATTGTAATTAATTTCGGCTGTTTAGTGTCTAATTTGAGTGGGAATCTAATGAATTGCTTTGAAGGTGGCATGGGTTCAACTTTCTGGATTCAAGTCAAGTAAATGTTCAGATTTTGGTGCTTTTAGTGGCAACAACCATCATTAATTTTGGAGTTGTGCATTCAACTTCCATTGAATGTGAGCATGCACTAAAGAGGAGGTTGAGGATTAAGTCCTAAATAATAATTTAATATGTTGGATTTGTTAGGGTTTCACACACACAATTGGCAAATATAATAGATAAAAATTCACACACAAATAAAAACGAGTCCACAGGCGAAGAATGACTAACAATACTTCAAAAATTTGATTACACACTATTATCTCTCTCTCACAATCTCAACTCTCTTTTTCGCTCTACAATTTACTCTTTTCATACCCATATATATTTATAGAGTCTTTAAATTCAAATCCTTATTGGACAAGTATTCCCCAACTTGCCTATAAAGAGTTACCATATCAATCCTAACTCTAAAATATGAACTTTATGTGACACAATTTCCTTAACAAATTTCAACATTCCAAAACGGGAAAAAAAGGAAATTAATTTCAATATTCCAAAACGAAAAAGGAAATTAATTTCTGTAGACAATTTTGAGCCACAAACCCAACAATCTCCACCATGGCTCATACGCTCCTCTACAGCTCCACCTTGAATGAAGATCATTCCACATTGAACAAATATTTCTCCACCTCAAATAAATCACTATGATGAAATTGAGAAACACTCTAACAATCTTCACATTTTCTCAAATTTATCACTCTTCTTCTTGTTGTTCTTCATTGCACCACTATACTCATCTATTCTTAGCGAATTCCAAGCTCAAATAATTAAACTTGGAATCTACTTTCGCATCACCAAATTGAACTCTTCTTGCTTTCGGAATAAAGGCCGGTACTCTTGCAATTGTCAAGACTTCTTCTTTTTCTTGTTGTTCTTGATTCTTTATTCTAGTAGATCTCGAAAGTCTTTGCAATTGCTCCACCTAGCATAGTATTTCCTAACAGAATATAGAGATTGTTGACCTTCCTTTCCAAAAGCATGACACGTGGCCCTCTTCTAATCTTTCATCAATTCATTTTTCACTTCACACCAACAACATTTGGAATCCAATGCTCCCACAGAGATCACATTCCTTCTAACACTTGGAACATAGCGGACATTCGTTAGGATTCTTACCAAACCATTCATTGTCTTGATTTTAATTGTTCCAATTCCCATAATATGGCAAGAGACATTATTCCCCATAAATACCTTACCCGCTGTAGGTTTGTAGGTAGCCAACCATTCTTTATGAGGACACACATGATATAAATAAAAAATCACACATAAACAAAAATGAGATTTACGTGGTTTGACAAATTGCCTAGTCCACAGGCGAAGAACGATTAACTTTACTTCAAAAACTTGATTATACACTATTCTCTCTCTCACAATCTCAACTCTCTTTTTCGCTCTACAATTTACTCTTCTCATACCCATATTTATTTATAGAGTCTTCAAACCCAAATCCTTGTTAGACAAGTATTCCCCAACTTGCCTATAAGGAGTTACCATATCAATCCCAACTTTAAAATAGGAACTTTATGGGACATAATTTCCTTAACAAATTTCAACATTCCAAAACAGAAAAGGAAATTAATTTCTGTAGACAATTTTGAGCGACAAACCCAACAGGATTTGGTGTGGCTGACGTTTGGCCCGCTCAACTTGCTCGAGTCCCACCCTCACTGTTGAAAAGAAGTTGTGACACGTGGGATAGTAAGCTGGTTAAGTTTGTGTCATTTTAATTGAATATTTTATTTTAAAGGGAAGTTGTCATTTGTACTAAACTAGCTATGTCACTTTAATATGGGTTGATTTTTTTTCAAAATTTATTTTAATAAGAAATATGAATTAAGTGTAATTCAATAAGAAAATATATTATAGTGAAAAATAATGCATTAGATGATAGGCATGGAACATTTTACAACAAAATGAGACCGTTAATTGATATTGTGTAAATAGTATAATTGATAGGGTTATTTACAAATTTGAACATAGTTCGGTATAGTTGACGGGCTTATTTGTAAATTTGAACTATTTTGTAAAAGTGAACATAGTTGGATTTATTTATTTATTTTTGCACTTTAAGAAAAAAGAAGAAAAAAAAAGAGATGGGTCAAGAGAAACAATCAAAACCCAACCAACAAACAAAGCCCAAGGAGAAAGAAGGCCCATTGGGCAATCCTACCACTAGCATCAACTGCAGCTACAGGAAAGGCACCAAGGCGGGAGAATCAACAGAAAATACCACAATCAAAGGAGAATACGACATTTTAACACTGGGATCAAAGGAGTCGTCCGGAAGGTTCCAGGTTGAGGCAGTATCTCTCTCACACAAATGGACAATTACATCGTTTGACAGAGAAAAGGTGCGAACAGAGTCGCTGAGGATTTTTGAATAGTGGCTACAAGAACCGTAGAAAACCCTAGTATTTGACTTGCTACAAAACTGACCAAGGTAAGTTTCCGAACAAGAATTTTATTCGACTTTTTCATTTCTTTCCAATTGGAAGAGGCCCAAATGAGGAACTTGTGCCAATTTCTAGGGTTCGTATTGGAACCCATATTTATGTTGAAGTACGATTAGATTATTTGAAGGGTGTGTTCAGTTGCATGGAATTGGAGTAAAAATTGAAATCGGTGGAATTTGATAAAAAAAACTAATAACCATAATTTTTTCAAATTCCACCAATTCTAATTTCAATTCTAAGATTCCAATTTCATGCAACAAAGTAAAAAGAGAGGTTGATTTTAAATTTTTTTGTCAAAAACACCCCCACTAACCAAGTCAGTGGGTTTTTTTTTTATTTTTTTTATTCATTTTTCAGTTATATGCAATTTGTCCATTGACTGAATTTGGTTAAAAGTTTTTTTTTCAACTTCGTTACATGTATTACTATATTTTAAATTAATGAAAAGTGTTAAAAAAATTAAAAAGTAAAATTTAAAGTTATAAGTGCAGCAACATATAAGTTCATATTATGTATTATATATAACATTATTATATTGTTCGTATTATATTTTTTAATTTTTTATGTACATATATATATATGTATAAGTATGTGAGATGGGCATTTGATCAAAAAATTAGATTGACAAAAATTTATTTTAATTACAAAAAGTAATTGAATGGCATAAAATAGTAGACTTTTCTCTAATTTTATTTTTATTTATTTATTTTTTTTTATAGAAAAAAAATGGAAAAAAAAAAGTATATTAGTGCTAGACATATGCTAAAGAAATAGCATATAATTGCACTCACAACTATGAATTTTACTTTTTAATTTTAAATTTAATTTAATTTTTTTTTTAATTAAAAAGTATGGTGATGCATGTAACGGAAAATAAAAATTCACATATTATTATTCAAGAAAAGAAAAAAATCTTTTACCTAAATTCACACAATTAGGCCCCCCCCCCCGCGGCGACTTGGTTGGTTGGTGGGAGTATTTTTGGCAAAAATTCAAAAAGCAACCCCCTCAGTTAGTTTAGGGTTTTTTGACAAAAAAAATAATAGGAAGGGGGGTGTTATTGC